ATATCAAATAAAATATATTTAGATAATCATAAAAAAGCGGATTTAAATAGACCATCAAATAAACCATGATCTTTATGAATAATATTCTTTTATATTTGAGAATATCAAGAAAGCTTATAGAAATCAATAAATCATAAAATCGATGAATTAATAAATCAAAATCGACAATCAAATTTGTTCTATAATTTAGTATATTTTCAAATTGAATATTTTTTGTATGGATTATCAGATTTTAATTTCCTAAAGAAAGATATCAATTTTTTTTGAATTATTTCTAAATAAATAAATATATCTCTATAAAGAATGCTCATTAATTCACAAAGCATAACTTCAAATCATAAATATATAGGAATATCATATCAGAATCATCTCAGAATATATATTTTTTGGTTGATAGACCTATATATAATTATGGGAAATTTCGTCATAAAATCATTCTATAAACATGAATTTAGAGTTTTGCAGCAAGATTATCGAATTCTAATCGGTATAATCGAAATATAGTCTTATCTTTTCGGTTGTTCATCCCTATCATGACGACCAACGATTATCCATTCCTATCTCCTACCTGAGATTCACTAGCGCACTAAATATCCTTAATAACCCGACCTGAATTTTCTCTGACCTGTTTCGCACAACCTAACCCGGCTTTGCTTCTAGTGCGGTCGGACCGAAACAAAGGACACTACATATGCGTAACAAGAATCATACCCATCAACAACAAAACCTCCGACCATATGAATATGAAGCGAAAGATCTGAGGACACATCCCTTGAGCCAAGCAGGAAAAACTAATTACCAATCTATTCCAATACTCCGGGTCAGCGACCCAAATTAACAAGGACATGCCAGCGTAGATCCCCGAACAATGATGGAGCGCCACGACGACCATGAAAACCAGGACCACCACATGCCATCGCCTGCCCTTTAAAGCATGCACACCAGATTTCTGGCTGAAGTTACGTCTACAGCAAGCCGGGCACGGTTCTAGGCTTTGTAGAATGAGGGCCATCTATTGCTGGTGCCAAGTTTTCGGAGTATTTACCGTGGCCAAGTCCCCATTGCCGTTGTCTCATCCAATATCGAGGGTTTAGACGCATGCCCGGCTGCACGTGCTGAGGGTGAGAACAGATGCACTGGTATAAGCAAGAGATATTGAGATGGTCTGTCGATGGATGACTGACAACTTGAGAATCTTGACTTGACGCATTGAGGGATGTTGAGAGACTCACTCGTCATGCCGGCGGAGGCGGGGGCGGCGGTGGTGCCGGTGCGCTCTCAGACTCGGAGGCCTGAAACCTCCGCAGGTCAGCGTCGGCGCTCCATGCCCAGAATTCACGAAACCAAGACTGAAGCGGTCATTTCACATCGCACCCTTCGGACGTCAAGATAAGCCAAGAACAGAGACTTGTAGTAGCCGATCTGCTGCGTGGGGTCAGACCTAAGTGAATGACAACGACGACAAATGCCCTGCCTCTCTGAAGGGGTGCTAAAAGTTGCTTGGGACTTGGTCTTGTTGCATCTTGTGGCCAACAGAGAAAGCGCAAGTCTGAGCCACTGGCACCAGCACAAGTTCTTCCTCATTTTGACAGCTATGCAGTGAAGGACCAACTCTTTCACGGGTATCATCGCAAGATCTCGCATACATCTCGACCACCCTCCAGAGAACATTTCTAAGGCAAGCGGCAGGCTTCACGACAGCATCACACATCGGACACTGCTCATTCGCCTGGCGGACATGAGCCCCATGTTCTATTTTTGCTTTGGCCGTCTGCTGTGCGCCAGGTTGTCGCTTTGGACTTCAGGCCACGTGACTCTGGTTTCCAATGTATTCCTGCCTGCAGCATGGCAGAGAAGACTGAATACCTGGCTGTCGCAGCAACGTGCCAACAAATAGTGCAAAACTGCCACAAAGACTCACTTTTGTCTCGGCAAACGTGAGGGTTCTCAGTATGTGAAGCCCTTCATGCTTTTGCATGCACGTCCTGCCCGCCTGGCAGGAAAATTGCATGCCGGGCAATTTGACCTCAGAGCTCTGTCGGTGTGAGCAGTCCTTTCCCGGGCTCGATTGGGTTTCTGGGCCGGGGCCCTGGCCAGTCCTCCTTCAGCATGCGCATGCCGCTAGCGATGCAAAAGGGCGAGATGTTCTTGCAGTTTAAGCCTTGGCTCTGCCATGAAGCTACAAGCAAGGTTGAAGTCGTCGCAAGAACTTCCATGACAAGGAACAATCGAGCTGTGACTCTGCAAAGTTGAAGCCGCAGTACATGCACGGCAGGCTCGCCTCGCGATGGAGGAGCAGTGCAACGGCCAGAACAGTTTCTTGTTGCAAGCTCTTCTGCCGTCCACAAGGTCTTTTGTCTCAAGACAGCAACAAACACAAGCTCAACTTGACCTTCAGCCGTCGCTCCACGGGTCAGTGGCCTACACACTCGGGTTTTTTTCGCGAGCCTCAAGTGCGTCTCTCTGATCAACCTCCGGAGGTGGCTTTCGGACGATGTTCTCGATCTTCTTTTTGTACCTGCACGCCATAGCACTCCAGCTGTGTTGCAATGCGACGGAGTTCCTGGCGCAATCGCTCCTACTGCTTTGCTGAATTTCCAAGGCCGTGGCTGCTCGGACACATCTTTCCGGTACTCAGGCTTCATGAGCGTGCAGGCGTACTGGTAGGACTGCCACGGCATTTCAGCTCACGGAGACCATGCAAGCGACTGCAACGACTTTGCTCAACTTGCAACCTTGCGCTAAGGCACCCTCTTCTTCGACTCAACTCCGATGACTCGAGCTGTCACCGCCCAGGCCAACGAAGTTTTGAGGGACAACGGCTTGCACTGCGATCTTCACGGCAGCATTGCACACTACTCATCGGGGGTTCCCGGGTTCGCATCTTTTAGGAATGTAGCGCCGACCTCGCCGGGCATCTTCGCACGCTGGCACTCGATCACCACGGAAGTCAGGATTGGCACGATGTGAGCTGGGAACCTGGGGAGGCTGCGGCAAACTGCGGTACAGAGCAAAGGGACTGAGCGTGGCTGCATACACGGTGGAAAGGGGTGTGCTCACAGATTGACAGCCGTGGTTTGAATCTAGAGATGCCGGGGCCACTGCTGCTGAATGTTCTTCGCAACACGCACCAACCTTACAAAGCAGTTCACTCCACATGACAACTCGGCCGGCCAGTCGACTCACTCTCGAAAGGCAGGAGGTTGTCTTGGATCCGGGGTGCAGGTAGACTAGGCGATGCACACCAGTCAAGATGCCCCAGCTGCGTCTGTACAGATTGCAGGCACGTCGCCTGCTTCATGCGTGCTACGGGTCCATCAGACAGGGTACAGCTGATATTGCACCAGCATGTACAGGCAGCCAATCTCTACCTCGGAGCACATATGTAAAATTACCAATTACCTCTAACGGAAAGATCTGAGAGGGAGTTGGCTTTGCCATCTGTTTCCATCCTTGAGCGATGGATTCACCGGCTAGTACGATTTGTGCAACTCCGCTGCATGGTGCCTGTGGCGTCCGTCGTTTATGTGGAGGCTGTTGCATCCTCTACCGGCTTGTGGCCGTACTGTGCGAGCAGCTCAAGACTGTCAGCAGCGTTCAAGAATTGTGCCCAATCCACTGGTGTGCCACCGTGCGCAGAATCTTTGATTGTAGCGAGCGCTCCCCTTTCCAACAGAAGGCGTAGGCATCTCAGGCTGCTGTATTGGGCCGCGAGGTGCATTGCCACGGCTCCTTTTCCATGCTCGGCTCCACCGAAGTCATGCCGAAGATTGGGGTCAGCCCCATTGCTTAGAAGCCATTCTGCAGCCTCGTAGCTATCACTGTAAATTGCCCACAGCAGCGGCGTCCCGCGGAAAGCATTGCTGTTGACATTCGCCCCAGCCTTGCAAAGTTGCACCATAGCTTCCACCTGATTGTTCCTGGCTGCCCATGACAGAGCTTCATCGAGCACAGACTGCTCAACAGCCTTGTTAACTTCTACCGGTTCGGAACCACTCTGTTTAGCTATCCACTCCAAGCGGGCTGGCCACTCAGGAAAAGCTGGAATGGGACGATAAAACCCCAAGCCCTGGAGGGCTTGCTTGGAGAGCCCCTTCTCATCGAGAAAGCTGTCCAAGGGCTGACCCAAGGCTGCGGCAGTCCTGAGGTTGGGTGCAACACTGGAGTTCTGGACCAACAGCTCAACAACTTCTGGACAAATCTTTGCTTTCGCATAGAAGAGAGCCAAGGCTAAAGGGCTGCCCGAATTATCGGCCCGGCCATCCAGCAGCGTCCCCACCGCAGTGTTGGCGCGGGCGTCCAGAAGTGATCGGACCAAGCTGAGATGGTCGCCCATCACAGCCACATGAAGTGGCGCCATGCCGGTCGTGGTGGCTCTTGCAGGATCTGCGCGTGCTTTGAGCACGGCGGTCACTGCATTCAGTTGCTCCGGCGTGCCATGGCGGCTCGGAATGGCACCATCCTGGGTGCATTCGGCGCAGAGAAGGTACAGTAGGGTCTTGCCGTCCTCATTGCTATGGTCCAAGACCTCTCTTTCCTGGAAGCAAGATTTCAAGTCTGTGCAGCACTTTTTTTGCAATCAAGCATAAAGCTGATCTTTTCAACAAGAACATTTTCACCAGCAAGGTCCTCGGTCAGAAAATGCGACAGTCCGTCTGTGTCGCCCTGGACACCTAGCTGAACGGCCTTCTCGAAGACATCAATCTTGCCGGCCATGCCGTGGGACCCAAAGCTGTTCTAGCCGGATGTTGACAAAAATGCCTGCAAGTTAACCAAGCAACTCGCAATAAACATCACTTCTCGATTGCCAGTCTTGGCCCGAATCTCTACTTATCCGACAACAGTGGCCTGCCGCGTATGCGAGCGATTCTCGAATACTTCGCTTCGATGAGGGTGCCCTATGACCCGTCACAACACACACACACACACACACGAATGTCAGTGTCCTACCTACCGAGGTCAAGCAAGTCCATGGAAGCAATTAGCTGCAAGCACCAGGTCCGACAAGCACTCACACCGACCCAGAGGCTCAAAGTCCTACCGGTCGTCTTGCCATGGGTCAACAGGCCGAATGTCTGAAGCAAGGCGAGTCAGGGGCTTAAGGCAGACTCCCGTCAATCTGTGCCTTTGTGACTGCTTTCCGGTTTGGCGGGTCTCCAGAAATTTCGGTCTCAAAAAACATCCTAGAACTCGTTCTTAGGCCAAAAAGCAATCCGGATAGACCCACACTGCGGCCCAACTCCGAGCTGCTTTTGCATGGGCGTCCAGCGCAGCATAAATTCCCTGCGACATGTTCACTATGAAAGTAGGCCCCTGCTTTGCAGGATGAGCAAACTCGCTCTGCCACCAGCTAAGAAGGTACTGCCCTGAATCATTGATCCTTTTGCAGCTTGCCAGACCTGCTAGAGAGTATATTTCTACGGCTGGAAGCGTGGGCCACATTTGCCGGCACGGAGGCGCCGGCGGTTGCAAATTGGAGGGGGCCCACGCATGGGAAGCCCCTCACCGGCTGATCTCGGGCCATTTCGCCCAGGATGCCGTTTCGTGAAAGCTGCTCCGTGGAGCTTCTTTGGCTCCGTTGCTGCAATCGGCTTCTTTGGCGTCATTGCAGACTCGTAGTCATGGGCTTCCAGGGGGAGGAACAATCTTGTTCCGTCCACCTGCCGGGGAAACTCATAGCAGGAGGAGTAGGAGTAGGAGTAGGAGTAGGAGTCGTGGTCGTCGTCCTCGTCGTAGTAGCAGTAGTAGTAGCAGCAGCAGCAGCAGTCGCAGTCGCAGTAGCAGGAGCGGCAGCAGCACGAGTACGAGCAGGAGCCGTAGCACTGGCAGGCGCAGCAAGCAACAGCACAAATATTTTTGGGTCCGGAATTATTTGAGGAATTTTTTTGTTTTATTTGGGGAATTTTTTTTGTTTTTAGCTTTTGCTTGGGAAAGGGGGGGCAGGGAGGGAGGGAGGGAGGGAGGGGGGAGGGGGGGGAGGGGGGGGGGGGGGGGGGGGGGGGGGGGGGGGGGGGGGGGGGGGGGGGGGGGGGGGGGGGGGGGGGGGGGGGGGGGGGGGGGGGAGGGGAGAGGGGAGAGGGGAGAGGGGAGAGGGAAGAGGGGAAGGGGAGAGAGGGAGAGGGAGAGGGGAGAGGGGAGAGGGGAGAGGGAAGAGGGAAGAGGGAAGAGGGAAGAGGGAGAGGGAAGAGGCAAAGGGAGAGGGAGAGGCAGAGGGAGAGGCGGCGAGGGCGAGGGCGAGGGAGAGGGAAAGAGGAAGAGGGAGAGCGAGAGAAAGGGAGGAAATGGGGGGAAAGGAAAGCAGGGAGGAAGGGAAGAAGAAGGCAAGGGCGCCAAAAAAGAAGAAGGCAAAAACGCAAGCAAACGAACAAACAAGCAAGCAACCAAGAACTCGAGGAAACAAAGGGAAGAAATATATAAGGAAAGTCAATAAGCACAAAGCAGCCGCAACACAAGGAATAACGGCAAACAGAATAGATATGTAGATGTGCCTGTGTGTATGCGTGTATATACCTCTACTCCGTTCAGACACCTGAAAGGTGAGCCGGCACTTACAAGGAATAGCGGATTAAAAAAACAGATATGTATATGTGCATATGTGTATGCATCTATACTCCTCTACTCCGGTCAAGTACTTGAAATTCCAGTCAGATACCTGCAAGGTGAGCCGGCGCGCACAAGGAATTGCGTCTTTTCGACAGATATGTATATGTGCATCCGCCTGGATAGAAATGGTCTTTGAGATTGATCATGGTCAAAAAGAAATGAATTTGCTTAATGCACCACTCAACAACGAGGTCATGGGGTAGCGGCTCCAGTTATTGCACTGCCAAGCAGCACCGCTGATGCTCATGATGCGCGTGTCTTGTCCGCCCCCAAACCTGGTGATGCTGGTCCTAAAACCCAAACCGCCTGGTCCGTCTCGTTCTCCCACAGCCGAAATCTTGAGCCAGTGAGTGTTTATGAGAGGGTCTAGTGAAGAGGGACATGCGATATGTGATAAGTGCGCACCTGTGCACAATCAAGTGTGACTCCAAGCCTATTGAAATCTTGCCGCACACGAAGCCATGGAAATCCACCCGGACGAGGTGCGGTTCAACCGCACAAAACATGTAATGCTCAAAAAAATCAACTTTTCCAACCCTTGCAACGCACGAAACACTGCTATGCTCAAAAAATTCCAAACTTTTAAGGACTCTGCCCCCGGCCTGGCCATAGATGCCAGAATTTTGGGATTTTTTTGAGCAGTACAGTGTTTCGTGAGTTTCAGGGCTGGAAATTTTGGAAGTTTTTTGAGCATCACAGTGTTTTCTGATGTCCAGGACAGGATATATTGCATCACAACATAATTGTGTGCTTTCAACCGTTGTCAAGGACTGGAAGTAATCTTCTGGAACAACAACGGTTTTCATTGCTCTTGTTAGGTAAGTATGAAAAAGGCCTAGTCGTTGCATAGTTTATTTCATATATGTTTTCGTTGGTTGGTAGATCTATGGCACCAGCAGCACTGGCTCCAGTACCTGAGCTTTCTCGAAAATGGTTTTGGCCATTCTTCGGCAAGCTGCACCGCCTACAGATCCATCACTGTAGCAGCGCAAGCCTATCTAGAACTTAATTCATTTCATGTTGAAGACTGTGGGAAACTGTTTGCATCTTGCTATCATCAGAAACAATGGAGACTTCCTATTCGGTTTCCTATGAGACATCCTCATACCTATCAAGCAAGAGACATGAAGATTCCTGCTAACCCAGAAGAGAATTCTACGATGTCACCTGTAGTCTTTGAAGACTGAAGAGAGCTCTTTTTCATGTTGTGATACGAACTATGACAGCGTTTAAATCACAGTCACATACAGAAGGACCGGTATCGCTTTGTCAGGATGTGAAGGAGGTGTAGAAACCGATACAAGTCTTATGCCTCTTGCCCGTTTAATAAAAGATACCAGTAAGCAAGCTTCTCTTTGTTTCTTGATCACATCTGGGGAGTGTCGCTTGAAGATTGAAGAGAGCTACTTTTTCCGCTACGTTCTATGACAGCAATTAGAGAAACAGCCATGGACATAGCGATCGGCATCTTCTGCGGGGTATAGGACAGCATCATTAATAAGAGTTAACCGAATGAAAACTCATGGCCCTCCATGAAGTGCCATTTTACTTTGTTTTACAAGGTTAAGGAGCCCCTGCCTTGTGATTGATACGTATCAATGCAGCCAGTCGTAATTAGTCCTGCTCCATGTTTGGAAGGTTGCAAGAGCTCTCTTACTTATTGCTGCAGACGAGCCTTCTTGTGCGCCCGCATATGCACATGAACTTTCCAACTCCAGGGGGGCTTTCCCATTTTTTATGAGGCAAAGAACAACTATTGGAGTATTGCTTCAAAAATAAATGCGCCCGTATATTCGACTTCCTCCGTGTATAACGGACAGGACATGAAAGGAGCTCTTTGTGTTTCGTAACTCATAAATCAAATGCTAGAGCTATGAGGCCGCATCAGAATCGGACGCTCACGAGCAGCGGGAAAGAGATGGCCCACGCACACAGACGTTCTCGTAAGAAAGACAATAGTATTTTTGTTATTAGAGGAATGTCGTTAAATAACACACCATAAAACGCAAAAAACACGAGGTTTTTTAGTACTACCTGAACAAAAATAGCACGCCCTCCAGCATTTCAGCTTCTCCAACATATAAACTACCATAAATCTGCTGCCGAAATTCGGCGCCAGACTTTTACACATATCAAACCCGCGACTTGTAGCAGTACTGTTTGCATGCACATGGAGTAAAGCACAATTGTATCGGAATTTATGGTGTTTTCGGCATATATGAGTAGTCGACCAATGTAGAGAAGCAACCTGTGGAATTGTGTGGAAGAGGCGGATGTAGATCTTGGGGGGGGGGGTGACCATATATATATATATATATATATATACTCTATATTTAATTTATATATTGACATACTACCGACCCTCCTTTCTTCCTTCTTTCTTTTCGTCCTTGCTTCCTTCATTCCTTCCTTTCCTCCCTTCTTGCGTTGTTTCTTTCTTTTCTTCCTTCGATCCTTTTTCCTTGCTTCCTTTCCTTCCTTCCTTCCTTCCTTCCTTCCTTCCTTGTGTCCTTGCCTTCTTGTGAAGAAGTCAGGAGGCCAGGCCAGGTCGAGAAGCCAGGAAGCCAATTAGTGTTGACGCAAAGAAGGCCAACAAGACAGCAAACCAGGAAGGAAATCCCATAAACCAAGAAGCCAAAAGACGACAACAAACCAGCAAGGAAAGCCAAAAAGCCGAGAAGCAGAAAGCAAAAGCAAAAAGCAAAACCAGTAAAAAGCAAAGGCAGAAAACAACAGGCCAACGCCCAAAAAGCCGAATAAGCAAAAGCGAAAAACAAAAAAAAATCTCCAAAAAAACAAAATAAATTCCTCATTTAATTAGGATTCCAATATTTTTTCATCCTGAAACCCCGTAATGTAGGAGCCTTCAACAAGTAGAACGGGGTTCGTGGGTATATTTTGCCAAAGTGATAATTTTGGAAGGATGAATGGGACTCCACCTGCAGGTTAGCCAGGTTAGCGTCGCCAAAGGTCTCCGCGGACAAGGCGGACGGCGATCGTGTTTCCGGGGTCTGTGGACGAATTCCGACGCGCAGGTCGCTGGTATAGCTGCAGACCTTGTTCAAGGCTCAAGCTTCCGGCTTTAGGTGCTCTTTTGTGGCTTCAGGGTGTAAGGCTCCAGGTTCATTGGGTTTCATACCGGCTCACAGGACGTCGGGCATTGTGGACAATTCGTCACTGCGTCAGCCGGCCCTAGGTCTGAGTTCAGGAGATTTGCCATGGTGTCCCAGCCACCTCACGCTTCTGAATCGGGAGCTGGAGAGCCATCACTGGCGGTTCTTCCTGCCAGGGCATGAGTTGTCACGCGAGTCTCCTTGCAACCGGAAGGCCAAAGATGGCAAGAACAGTAGTAGTAGCAGTAGTCGACGACGTCGTCGTAGCGGTGATGCTGGTGATGGTGCCACGGCTGATTACAAAGACTTCGAGTTTGGCCGTCAGGGTCACTACCATGGTGCTTACTTCTGTGTTGATCATCTCGCTACGGTTGATGTTTCTCCAAGTGTCGTTGTCCAGCTTCACGAACTATGCGTGCATGGGAGCTGGCCTCAGGCAGCCACAGAACAAGCTGCTTTGTGTAACTGAGCAGATACTGCAGTGTGAGCCTGCATGTCACATCACTACGCTGTCCTGTCTTGCTGCTTCAACGGCATTGAAGATCTCCTCGGTCGAGCCTCATTTTTTGTAAGGCAGCCGAGGCGCGAAAGGTTAGCCATTTCTGGAGACACTGGCGGAGGCACATATGCGTGCATGGGAGCTGGCCTCAGGCAGCCGCAGAACAAGCTGATTTGTGTAACTGAGCAGATACTGCACTGAACCTGCATGTCACATCACTACGCTGTCCTGTCTTGCTGCTTCAACGGCATTGAAGATCTCCTCGGTCGAGCCTCATTTCTTGTAAGGCAGCCGAGGCGCGAAAAGTTAGTCATTTTTGGAGACACTGGCGGAGGCGCATATGCGTGCATGGGACTGGCCTCAGGCAGCCACAGAACAAGCTGCTTTGTGTAACTAAGCAGATACTGCACTGAACCTGCATGTCACATCACTACGCTGTCCTGTCTTGCTGCTTCAACGGCATTGAAGACCTCCTCGGTCGAGCCTCATTTCTTGTAAGGCAGCCGAGGCGCGAAAGGTCAGCCATTTCTGGAGACACTTCCGGAGGCGCATATGCGTGCATGGGAGTTGGCCTCAGGCAGCCACAGAACTATCTGCTTTGTGTAACTAAGCAGATACTGCACTGAATCTGCATGTCACATGTACTTCCCTCCTTGCATTCTTGCTTGCTGATTCCGCGCTGGCAGGAACGCTGGTTTCTTGTGATCTGCCTCATAAAAACAAGGGTCGCAAGTTGCCTGTTCGGGTTGTATTTTGCGAACAGCAAGCTGGCATAGCCTCTACTTCATCTGTTGGCAGGCTGGTCTGTCATAGACAGTCAATTGGCTCGTCAATTCCTTGATTTACTGTTCTCGCAAACCCTGGCGGTGCCAGCAATGACGAAGGATGGCGTAGCGAAGTGCAGGGCCTCTTGCGGTCGGCCTCAGTGTCAGTTCCGGGCACCTGCGCGGACGGTTTTTTTTTTCCGGAAGACGGACGAGGTCGTCAACTCATCGCCATCCTGTAGTTCAGTTTGCTTGTAAGTTCCACGTCCGAATGAGATTCCGAGGATTTGACTTCTCCTGATCGCGGGCTTGCGCATCTTCTCGAGGATGATATGGCTGCACCCGCCCTTGGTGAGACGAAGCCTGGCATGACAACACGAGCGAACGAAAAGGTTCTGGGAATAGGGCCCCCGCTTGCAGAAGTGGAGGTGCTCCGCGAGATCGTCGAACTGCCTGCAGGTCGCGAGTCGGATAAGTTAAGGGAGTAAGACCAATAATTAAACACCTCAAACGATGCTCGACGACGAGTTGGATCGCGACGACGAATTGGTCCGTGGAAGTAGCCGGCCAATCCCGGACCTCGGACGAGCAAGGATTCTGTTACGTACTGCTGCTTCTGGCCTTGCCTTCCGGTAGACTTCGTAAACGTAGTCGCCTACCAAAAAACGAAATCGATTACACGAGAAACCAATCGGACGAGCCTTCAGCCACGTCGTTGAGCAATTGGGCTTCGCGCTTGTAGACCTGCTTGCAAGATTACTTTAAAGATAACCTACGGTGAGGGTGTAGCGGAGTTGAAGCTCGGGCTGAGGCTGCTATGTCTACCAAATTTTAGGCATCACAGTTCTTGTCATTCAACATGAGGACCTGCCTTACAGACCTTGAAAGCGATTCCCGACTCAGAACCTGAGAAAACAGCAAACCGGAACGCTCTTCGATTCCATGCAACATTACAAAAAGTATCGCACTTCAAGTTCGATTTTGGCTGTATCGTTGTGCTGATCAAGTTCGAACTTTGTCTTCAAGCGTTGAGGCTTGCATGCATTGCCGCCGAAGTTCTCCAGGAAGTGAGGCAGCTTTGGGGCGGGATGAGTCACGGGGTCTTCATCGAAGCTAGTGAGAAAAACTGCGAAGGTCATCCCCGTAGAATTGCGAGACCCTGTTCACGGGCTACCGACAATACGGGAACATGCTCAGATGCGAGGGAATGAACGAGATGTGTGCTTATCTGACATCTGTCAGGGGCAGCACGGCTGCCCGTAAGACGCTCGAACATCGGCCAGAATAAGACATCTGTAAAACCCCAGCGTCAGCAACGACACTTCGAGGCCATCGGGGCCCGGACAATGTCGCCAGGTCGAGGCTAAGCGCCGTCTCGCAGGCGTACAGCGAGGCAACGGCCTTCGCAGGACTTTGCGACCACTTATCCAAGGTTTACGTGTGGTATCACATCGCCCGATGAGGAAACGCCGTAGCCCAAAGCTCAGACAAACCAGCAAGGTCTTCGGATCACGGGAAACGCCGTAGCCCAACGCTCGGAAAAAAAAACAGCAAGTCTTCGGATCACGGATCCCAAGGCCTAAAGCCCAAGCCCTGAAAGCGTCATAGTATTTAAAATGTATTTGTGAGTGGCTCGGGCATTGAAACTTACGACACAGATAGATGTCACGAGCAGTCTTTGAGAATGGATCTGAGTGCTCGGAGCTTGAGAGTTTAGCTCGAGTCACGAAGATGGCGGTTGCATGCGGTTGCGGCAGCGGCAGTCCCAGTGGCAAAGGGAGTGGCAGTGGTGGGAGCAGGAGTGGGCGTGGGGGTGGGAGTAGCAGTAGCAGCTGCTGCAGCGGTCGCAGTAACAGCAGCAGCAGTAGTCCAGATAGATGCAGTAGTCGTCGACGTCGTCGTGCCCTGATTAACTACAGCGACCTTGACTTAGGCGGTCAGGGTCGCTAACCATGGCGCTTGTTATGCGCTTGTTTCTGTGTTGAACACCTGTCCATGGTTGATGTTTCTGCTACACTCTCCTTTCGGGCAAGTGACCTGGCCGTCCGTAGGAGACCTCAGGTAGCCACAGAACAATCTGGTTTGTGTAACTAAGCAAATACTTCGCTGAATCTGCATGTCACATCACTACGCTGTTCCGTCTTGCTGCCTCAAACGCATAGAACTGTTCTCGCCGGTTTTTGACGAGGAGCAGACCTGGAAGACCGATTTTAGACGTCGTCTGTTGCATCGGCTTTCTTGACAGTGGCAGCTCATTCCCTGCCGCGACAGGGCCCGCTGCTTCCTTTGGATCAATTCGCGACGCCATCGCGGGCACAGGATGTCAGCTACTTGGGAATTCTTCGCAAAACATGTGCAGCATCGTGCAGCATCAAATGGTGTGACGGTCTTGCCTTGCTGCATTTGCCAGTTTGCTCAGCTGAAACAGCTGCAGATCAACAGATTATCAAAAGAGAAGAATCTCTCAACATCCTGCCGGGTTCTGCCGAACTGAGGTGTACGCATGATAGCGGCGCTATGGTGATCTGCGGCCTGCGTGAAGCAAATCAGGTTATACAGCCTTGAATATGTGCACTACAGCAGTGCTCCTCGGTGTTCATTGCGTTAGCTGCCGGGCGACACCCCACTGTTGTTGACAAATCTGGTGATGCCACGAACTGCTTGAAACACAGGCTCCAGACCTTGACCAACCGCTTCACCTGACAGGGCGTCTTCAGCTGCCGACTTCTTGGACTCAGCGAGATTGTCTGATGTCGATTGCAGATTATCCTGCGCCAAGGCACGATGACGTACGAGTGGAGGAGCATGAGCCTGCGCCACCTTAGCAGAAGAAGCAGCTTGCAAATTGGAGATGAGCACTAAGTAGCTACTGGAGGGGAGTGATCCTCAGTTTCTTGATCCAGATCCGTGATTCCCATTCCGTGCTCAATTTTGCCGCATTGATCAGTCTGGGACTGCGCCAGGCAGGAAGCGTCTCGAGACTAGATCTGCACTGTGTCTTTTCATTCCGTTTTCATTCAGGTCCCAAGCTCTCTAAAAGGCATAGAAAGCCAGCACGTACGTCTATTCGGGACCTCAGGTCGGTGCAGTTCCTGGGGCAGTGCAAGCTTCTGGCTCTTGAGGTCCTGAAACGGAGCAGTGCATTCGGCATTGTATTGGCAACATCTGACCGATATGAAGAAGCGCCAGCATTCGCATGCTGCAGCCCAACTGCACCACACCAAACACCGGCCAATCCCCTTCCTGTGGCGGGCCACATACAAGGCATCATGTCAGGCAATGCAAGACAGCAAGATCGGCTCCGACAGGAAAAGACTTAACGCAGAGAATGCGATGTGCACGGATGCATCAGTGCGCTGACCTGGTAGGTGCGGAAAAGGAGCTGATGAGCCTGCACATGACTTTCTGTCGCTGAGGTAGGTTAGTGTTCAAATTTACTCAAGCTTCAAGCAACCTGTACTGTCACAAGGCTTCTTTCGCAGTGTCACAGATCTCACTCTCCCTCCTCCGCTGGCCTGCTTGTAATTGCCCATCTCTTGCTCTTGCTTGGCAATTATGTGGGCGGTGCCAGCAGCCTTCGGAAACAATCCGAGGCAGCCGAAATCGAACTATGCCTGCAGCATCCTTCAGCAGTGGATACATGCGACGCATAGCCAAACGAAGCAGGTCCAAGTGCGAGCCTGCATGTAGTTTCCGAGAGCCTTGTGCAGTCTGTACACGTAATTGGCATCCTCCGCAGGCTGCAATGTTGAATGAGCTTGGGCTACAGTGCCCAGCCATTCACGGACGCATCGGTAACTGCCAAGCTGAAGACTGCCTCATTCCGAACCGGGTTGATGAACAGGGCTATCATGGCATGTCTGATTGAAGGGGCATTTGTCTCGCCCAGGCATGCGCGATGCAGGGTGCTGCCCGCTCCTTTGGCACATTGTCCGTCTCGCCCATGAGGTAGTCAATCAGCGTGTGAGTCAGGGAATCATTCCTCGCCTTGCCCACCACCTGCATCAGAATCAGATCGTTCGTGTGCTAAATTGCTACAGTACACTGAGAGCCAAGTTTTCGGGATCTGCTCGGTCCAACTAGGCGCCTCAATGGCGTGATCAATCTCCTTCTCTCCAACCTGCGAGGCTTGGCGGCCGATCAAGCCCCAATGACTCTAATTAGATGTCAGATAATTTCGATGAGTGGCCTTCAAGTATAGCCTCAGAGCGGTCGGGTACTCCTCACACAGCGCATAGTGCCTGGCATCTGCAAAACCGTCTACAACGTGATCGCTTCAGTGCAAGCAGAGCCTTGCAACCTCTGATGTAAAACGAACAACTTCTGTGGAAAGAGTGTCAGCACCATTTGTGGACAATCGTGCGCACGAAATGTCTCTTCTATAGCACGACCCAGTGGACCCTCCCGAGTCACCGCATCCAACATTCGCCGTGCAGAGTTGCCCCACCCGCTTCGACCACTTCCCATTGTCGTGAATACTTACTCTGCGGTTGGCCAAACCTTCACCCGAGGCATGGGGGCCAGAGCTATGGATGTTCATGACAGACGTACATCAGACTGCCATTGGACTACCACATACAAGTACTAGCAAAGATGTGTAGGCTCATCCATAGGACCGTGTCTATTATACGAACTGTCGTCTCGGCTGTGCTGCAACTTTTAAGATCCCAGCAGTGCTATTAAACTGTTGGATTTGAGCGGGTACATGTTCAGACAAGCTGATGTAGTAGTCACTGTCCAAATTGCCGGGCTGGCTTGGCAGCGTTGGCCAAAAGGTTGCGCTGCTCCTCAACTTAACGAATCCCGCCCGCGACAACACAACGGCAGTGCTTGTTTTTCAGCTACATTTGCTGAGGAGGCTGGCACTAGCAATCTAGTGAAGGTGACAATGCTCAAGGGCATAACAAATCAAAAAAAGATGAACCAGCCAGCTCGAAAAACTCTCCAAGTGTCGTAGTACTTGGCGATTGCGCGGTGCTGCTGTTGCCTCGTGGAGGTCACGAAAAACTTCGCAGGCAACTAGTCTCCTCCCTGAACGCCAAAGCGTGCTCGTGTCCGGGCTCCACGGAGCTTTTCGAGGACCGCACGTGCCATGATCGCCGAGACCAGCTTCGAACGTCGCCATCTCGTCCTGTCATGCTTCACTTAGCCAAGTCATCTTGATGATCTCTCGAAGTTTCTTACACTCGCGAATTTGGGAGAAGCAAATCCGTCAGTTCTTGAATCAGCGAATGTCTGCGACAGACAAATGCCTCGACGTGGTTTTCACTGCCACTCGGCCACTCGGCATCACCGCGCCCCCACACACTGCATTCTTTGAAAGCACAAGCTTCCGGGCCACGCTGGCATCGGCAGACCGTGGTTTCGGCTGATCTCCATGCCCGGCGCTTCCAACAGCCATGTATGCCTTCGTCATTCACTCCACGCTTGGTCCTTTCCTGTCGTGCCCGGTATGCTGCGGCTAGGCCAGCACCGGCCCTCTTGTGCATCTCTGGTGCTCATTGTAGGGTGCAGTTCCAGGACGGGTGGAACCGTGACGACACAGCTCATGTCACCCCCCCACGCATAACACCCTGCATAAAACTTTGAAAGCTGCTAGAATGGGTGCACAGCTGGTGGCCTGCCGCTCTGCCAGAAGGAAGGCCTCCAAAAAAGCATCAATGCCACGCTTTGCATGCAAACACCTCCTGACTTTGCGACTTTGAGGCGGTTCAGTCCCCAGAGAGCGCCTCATCTGTGTTTTTGGCCAGGAGCAGAAACTCTACCGCACCAGAGATGTTGCCTCAATCATGCTCAGAGTCTCACATCCCTTGTGCAGGTTCTCGCGAACCGTGCGAGCCGCAGTGTAGCTTCGTGGATGTTGCTGGACACATGCCCTAGTGACGAAGCTGGGGTCTTCGACCATTTTTTCGGCAATATTCCGCCACCTCAGCACATCTGCCGCACCCCGACGTGGAGCCAATACTGCCAGTAGCTTTGGACTCTAGATCAGGGGACTTGCTGATTCCTTGGCCTACGATCGGAGCTGAGGCCCTGACGCGCTCGGCCCCTGTAGCCAGCTTCGTCTCGCGCACGAGTTGGAAAGCCTGTAATCAGAAAGCACTTTCGTCAGTAGCTTCTTGTAGACTGCAGAGAAGAAACATCCATGCCAACTCCGAAATTCCTGTCGGGGGTTCTGTCAATTCCAGGGATTTTCCGAGAACACCAGTCGTGAACGCGACTCGTGGCGACCCGCTTGAACGTAATGCCGCTCGGAGGAGCGTTTTGTGTGGGAAATGCCTATTTACAACTTCAATTTGTTGCTAGGCGGAGCCTTTTGTGTGTGGGAAATTCTTATTTACAAACCCAATTGGAGGGTTTCGTGTGGGAAATTCCTATTTACAAACTCAATGGGTTGCATTTTCCTATTTACAAACCTGTTGGCAAACCTCACTTCACAGGTAAAATGCATCTTTCAGGCGGGCGATTTTCTGTGCTTCCTCGGCTGAAAAGAAGCAGCCTTGACCGGAAGGACGCACTGATGCTTTTTCTCCGCGATCCGACTTCGTCTGCTCGAGAGCTCGCGAGAGCTCGAGGAGTGGTCCTCCCTGACTGCAGCTGAATGCCAAACTGCCGGCAGTCCCGGAGCCAGTGGCCTGCTTTGTCCATGCAGCCATGGTGCATTCTTAGAGCCAGTTCGAGTCAGGTGACATCTTGTGTGTCGCACCCGTCACACGTACTCTGGGTAGAGCGTTGTTACCTTGGATCTCTTTCTGTTCTGCCCCGGTGGCGATTCGGCTTCTTGGCCCCGGGCATTCCTTTCAGCGAGCCACCTTTTCACCTCGTCCAGTTTTTGCCTTGGAGCAGAGTCACAGTCAAGAGGCACTCGCCTCAGCAAAACGTTGAGCCCGCTGAGGTCGCGAACTGGCTGGCAGCAGAAGGGCGGGCTTTCAATGCTTTCTGGAAGCACCTGGCATGTTCCAAGATTGAACTTGGCCTCATGAGAGACTGCTTTTGTGGAGCCTGCCGGCATCCTTCATAATCTCGTTGTTGTCTTCGGGCATCATCCACATGGCCTCTCACAGTTCTGAACTGCATGAAGACCACTGCCATGAGCTCAAGAGCTGCCAGAGCCTCCAGCCGTGCGCACCTGGCAGGTCTGAAGCACATCCACTGGCAGCTTACAGTAGGTGACAGGCGCCTTGCTGCGAAAGCCGTCACAAACATGGAGGCTCGGCTGCGCTGTCAGCATTCTTGCAAGCCCGAGCCGGAAAAGACTTTTGTCGTCACACCAAACCTCTGCAGTTGTCGGAACAAGATTGCTGCACCCAAACAGAACCGAAGCTCGGTGTCATACAATAGGATTTAGCCTGGGGTCCGCGCCAGGCAAGCCTTCTCTGCACAGTCTTCAGCCTGGTAGAGATATGCTGCTACAGGTTGGCCAGGGAGCACTGCACGTCTTGGCTGCTCCAGGCACCTGCTTCAAGGCCTGCTTCTTGAAGTACTCGAAGTGCTCTTGCTCCTGCAGGAGACGCTTGAGGTGATTTATGGTGCCTGCACCGTCTATACGTCTGCCATGCGCGTGAACAGGGCGGCGTCGCAATCTGCACGTATTTTCGTGATGGGCACGGCCCAATGTCCTCGAACTGCGACACGAACGGTGTTCCATCGGGAAGGACCCCTTTTCCCTGGCAGTTGCAGGCCGAGGTTCTATCTGATCGAAAAACGAGCTACTTAGTTACACCTGAGCCCGCATCGGTCCGACCCATCTGCTTCTTGACCGCCAGGATTAAAGCTCTCAATGCATTTGCTCAGCCCCCCAAGTCCCCCTCTCCCACTTCTAGCCTGTGCCATGTCAAGGACACACTGGGCTCGGTTGGAGAAGCAGTCTGCCAAGAGCTGCTCCTAAGGAAAGCTGCGGTGCAAAAGCGGCTTCGAACCCGTTGGTGAATTTATCAACTGAAGCATCATGGCACCGGCACTCTCCTCGTGTTCAGCCCCAGTGACAGACCTCCAGAAGCCACCCCAACTAAAGCTGAGACGACAGACCAGAAAATGACACAGAGCCTTGGTCGATCAGCTCGCCCGGGACGCTCCAGGAATTGGATAGCCTCGCCCTGTGCACAAAGATGAACGTTCTCCCCGATCGAACCCGCTGGGAAATCTCGCAGGATGCTGGGGCCACAACAAAGGCTTCATCAGCTGAAATCAGATCGCCTGCAGAAGTGCGCTTTGATGCAGCCATTTGTATAAGATCTGTGTAAGGAATCTTGGGTGACTCCTGCATATGGAATGGCCTCTTTTGAATAGCTCGAGGCCGTCCTCTCGCCTCTCCTTCGCGGACTTGATTCGCTGATCCTTTGTCAACTCAGTCAACGTGATAGAGCTTCATCTGCAATGCTCCGGCATGCAAGCTGAGATTTATGAGAGACAGAAATTATCACGCAAGAACTGACTCTCTCACTGCTTTCTTCACTCCGACCCTGGCCAGGTCATGGATTTCATTCTCAGCATCCGGCATTGGCACGCATGGGCGCATTGACGGCGCAAAGGGAATCAATCGAAGCGAGCTCTGCTTCTGATGTTGTCTGTTCGCTGAATTACTTGTCCCAGCCTTGCTTGGCAAAAGAAAATCGGGCTAGCCTTTCATGCTTTTAACGACCACGCATGGCATGGAGGTGGGACTCTGGACGGGCTTCAAGAAATTACCAAGTCATGCCTTGAGCAAACTGTTTATGATTGTTTGTCAATCCTCCGGTGCTACTACGGTCTAGAACATGAGCGAGCACCAATGAAACTGCACCGACGTTTAATTCTCCAAACCCATGCTCTCGCGCGCCGCATGCCACAAGCAGTCACAAGCAAGAGCCTTCCTCATGCTCTCAGCGCCGGGGCCTTCTGGGGCTGGTTCAGATTGTCCAGGCAAATTCGAACCATACTATCCAGATCCCGAGCTCGCTCGTACCTGCCCGTGTGGCTGTCCACAAGTACCGATCGATTTGAGAGTTGCCCGGGCAAACGTGACCGTTCAACGTTACAAAGCTTCAAGTCGGCATAGCGTCACATGGGATGTTTTTTGGAACAGGTGGCACCTCATCGGGTTGGCGCTGCAGCGTTTTCGTAGCTACGACATCATTTGGCATCTACAGTAGCTGCGCTGGGCTCACGCAACCAAAGCATCTTGATATGCGCCACGAGACCTGGGCCATCTTCTCTCGCGGCGACTGCTTTGACAATAACTCAAATTCAGTGTCTGTAATGATGTGCAACGCCTCCCGGCAAGTATCAGCATAGTGGCAACTTCTGGTGCTAAGAATCCCACTCCTTGGCCTTCGCGAACTGCAGGTGCAGCTTTGGCGTGGAAATCTTCCAGGGCTCACAGCGTGTACTCTGCAATTCACAAGACTCTGGATCCGCCCCTTGCATGAACATGCGCCACAACAGAAAGATGTCATTGCCAAAGCCTTGGCCATGAGTGGCGCGGCAGCGTCGAAGTTCAAGTCCAAGATATACCTCCGACGATTCTCAAACTTGTAAAAAGTTCGTTCCGAAACTCGGACATCAACGTCGACGCGACAAGTATGACCACCAGAGCCGAGGCGCAGTGATGCTGCTTGGTCGTAAGAGCCTGCAGCCTCGTACAGCTGGGCGGCCTGCGCGCAGGATGCAGGCTCCAAAGCCAAGACATGTGTGGTTCCGTGAGGTCGATAGCATGCAGCATTTGAACGACATGGCCTCGACATACTGCTTCATCTTGTGTAGCACTGCGGCACAGTCGCGGCAAACGGTTGGGTCCTGCCAGGCAGCCAGGGCACAGGGCGGCAGCAGACGACGTGAAAGCATGTACATAGGCTTAGAGATATCGTATCAAATGTATGTGCATATAAATAAAAATACAGTATTTGATGTACATAAACATACCTATATTATGTTCTTTTGTACCTATTAATGTACTATTCAGCGGCTCTTTACATATTTGTAAACTTATCATTCATTTTGCATACACGCACATGACATAATCTATACCTACTGTAAACAGTAAATAGTATAGAACCAGTCGTGCGTCTGCATATGAAATCTCGTGAATCTGCACAACGAGGACCGGTCGTTGAGGTCGAGGGCCATCTGCATGCCCCGCGGCAGGTCACCCATCTTGACCGAGGTGCGTGCAATACCGGCCTGTCAGTGTTTAATCTGTCGAAACGCATCTGTGAGTCGTCTTAAGTATGTTGTGTTTTGGAATATTCTTCGCATATTGATTCGCGCACTATCGTGCATTCTACAGTAGATTGTTGCTACTAATATTATCATCGTATTTTGTCGAGGAGTTTAACCTTTCGAGTGCCGGCAATCAGAACAGCGGCAGCGTCGCCATTGTGCGAGGATTTCTCGCATTCCAATGAACATGCCTACTGTTCTTGCTCATCCTGAGGCAGGAAAACTTTTGTGAGCTCCCCAACATGGCCTGGCTTCTTGGTTGGTCATATACATCAAGATAACTCTGCTTGTTAGCTGTAGTGGAACCATTCCTGAAACAGAACAGTTCCTGAAGAACTCCAAAGCTGAGTCTAACACGCCCGGAAAACCGATCGGGGGAGCCTTGCACTGTGATTCGTGCTCCGGCCGGGTTCCCGGTATGTGGTCTCGCCTTGCGTTGGCGAGAGAATCCACGTAGCTGTCAAAGTATCCGATGCCGGCTCAAACTTCGTAAAGGTGTGATTTGGAGAGCGAGCTCGTACGAGCACCTGCTTAAGAAATTGATGCGGCCAAGGGGCATCGCCATCTCATAATGGCTCAGGGCCTGAAGATGCGTTTGCCGATGGTCTCTGCGCACAAAACAGGAGTTTTGCACAGGTGGAAACTACCACACTTTCATCTGCCAGAAATCGCAGGTCTGCAGGCAGCCTGCTCGTTCTGGTTACGGCCTTCCAGTTGCAGCGCGCTCCTCGACTCGAGGTGCTGCGCACAGTGCTAAACAATCGTAAAGTCAAGCAGAGAACGGGGCCACGGCAGTTGCCAATTGCGACCGGGGGATTTTTGGGCTTCAGCTTTTTGTCGGCTTTCCGATTTCGCGGCTTGAGGGGCTTGCTTGCTGTTCCGGCCTCGGGACCTAGTTGAGGTTATACATGCTCAACACTCAAGGCACAAGAAGTTCACTTAGGCAAGTATAGCTTTGGGAGTTATGCCCCCTGGGGCACCTGCTCACCTTGATGCACCAACTCTGAGGGCAAGGCTTCATGTAAATGTCGCTCAAGCGGTGCGGAGCGTACGTTTGCGCCAATTGCAATGCCTGTGGCAACGGTTGGGGCGAAGCATGTGCATGACTGTCTGTCCTGAGCATTTCATCTTGTCACCGATGCAACCGAACTGTTTTACACTTTTTCGGGGAGTGGGCGGCCTGATCCCATTCAAGGAAGTCGCAGTGCATGTCCAACGCCTGGGCGCATGAAGCTGTTCCATGCCAGGAGCCCTCACCCACCGCTGGGAAACCGATCTGGCAGTTGTTCAACATAGCTGTGTCGCCGAAATAGCCAGAAGGAGGGATCCATTGTCGGCTACGCGAGGATCTGATTTTATACAAGCGTCTTGGCAGTGGTCCTTCTCTTGAAAAGGCCTTCAGAACAGCCCCAGCGTGTGAAGTCACTTTCAACGGGTGGTGCACAAGTCCACGCATCATAAACATTCATAAACCACCGCGGAACGTTACATTTTGCCATCTGTCGGGCCGAGGGTTTGCCAAGCATCGCATGCTGGGAAGGTGGGAGCGAGGCAATGCTCCACGGGCTGCCTCCCCTGTCCGGCACCACGCTGCCCTATGCTCCAAGCACGAAGCATGGGACAACCTCACCCTAAACCCATATAGTGGAAGCGTCACTCAGCACAGCTGGGCCCAGGACAGTCTCTGGACTGCAACTCTGCAGGAAGTACCTTTGCGATTCGATCGCGACACGCTGCTGCACTGCCGGCTCTGTTTATCCTGCTGGGAGCTGGACGAATAGGCGGGTCGGGTCGCATGAAGCCGTATCAAACATATGAACTTTGTAAAGCATGTGCAGAGATCTCTCAAACAAGATCAAACAAGTACAAAGTACTGCATACGTCGATAAAACCCTGAAGTTCTGAGTTCGGCGCTCTCTCGCCTTCGCGAAGTTCCCGAAGAGGGCAGACACATGACCGCTAAGGAGGAGCTTGTCCTCTGAGATGTTTTGCTATAATTCTACAGTGGAGACTGCACTATTGTATGTGGTATTATATTGATACAATAATATTACATTATCCTCTGAATTGAGTGGTCGACCATCCGATGTGGGAGGATCTCAAGGATAGAAACCGGGAACCACGGCACAGAAGGCTGTCCGTCCTCGACAGTTTGGATTTTGTCCATGTACATCACCTTGCGAGGACGATACCCAGGCCCAATTTGCAGGAAGCAAGAACACCCTTTCGGAGCGATGCCATTCCAGGAGCAGGCGCTTGTCTGTACGCCTGCGCTGCAAGGATTCCAAGATGGTAGGATTTCCACCGAAGCATCTCGACCGGCCTTCTTTGCCCAGGCGATGTCCAGGCACTCCAGGCTCCTGCGAGTTTGGGCGAAGACGGCACAGACGTGCTGTCACCAGCATATTGGAGTTGTGTGGTTTTTGTGTTCGCCTGCCGCAGCCCTGAAACCACCTTCTTCGACTCCTAAGCTGCCCTACCCCCTCGCCGCCCCCCGCCTAGTTGCAGAAGTTGGCTCGGGAGCATGCACTACAGGCCATAAAGCCTGAAACCACGGCAATCAATCCCACCAACCTCCTATTTCTGCCCTCGCAGCCCCTGTCGATCCCAGCAGGGGCTCCCATGCCAACCAATGCGCTTTGTGTCGGTGTGCCGGCGGATTCTTGGAACTACTGTGAAGTTGCGCCGGGTGTTCACTAGAACTTCGAGTCCATGATTCTGCACAAAGCCCTGCCCTGCCCTGAGGGGGGTCTAAGGTCCTGCGACAATAAGCTTCACGGCTTCACTGTTATGTGACGAGCAGACATGCCTCCTGATCTGCATACTGACTAAAAGTAGGTATTGATGAGCTGCCTGCGCAAGGAAAAGCATACCCAGCATACCTTGCGGCATACCTTTTACAGTTTAAGAATGAAGCTCGGCACGTGCGCTGTGCCTTCTGCCCAAAGCCAGCCACAGGTCTCGCCTGAACCATCAACCGGTCTCTTGCAGAGATACTTTGGACCGGCTGACACTACATGATTCAACTGGTCTGTCACAGGGCACATTTCGCTGAGGGGCGAATTCAAGGCCAGTCCGATCTTGAAAGCCAAGGCGAAGCGATTCAACGCCAAGGCCTGCAGTTCGGAGGACGGAACCGGTTGCCACTTTGTCGCAGTGACTGCTTCTCTCTGCCACTTGCAACGACTTTCTCTGTTTCCAATAGCGGCCTGAAGGAAGCAGCCCTTCTGTCGCTCGAAGGTGTCCATGACATGAGCTTGGCTGCTCATATCATGCCTGCCATGGTCAGGGAAACGTACCTGCGATAGCCTTTGTGTCCCTCGTCGGCTGAGCAGCGTCTTGGGAGTTACGTCCAACAGCAAGCACACACCATGACTGGCCGGGCAGGCGAGTGCAGCCGCAGGTGGGAGAGAGTACCGCTGCTCTGCTGGCAGACTACAGTACCGTCCTCGGAAACACAAAACACTGGGCCGAATGTCCAGGAGCCGGAACATAATGAACTTGGCCTTGCCGATTTAATCGCCAGCGCCAACAAAAATCTACAATCTAGCACTGCTGCAGTTCTTGGGCATGGCCGCTTCAGGTTTGCTGAAAGACCATAAGATCGTTCAAGGGACAGAAACGAGGACGCCGACTTGGCCGTGCTGAAGCGGAGTCGGCGCGGCCTCTTCAAAGCTTGACTTTTTCTGCAACTCCGACTGATTCCTCGAACCGGTAGACTCATGAGCGCAACACGCCTGCAAGCAGCTCAACGTTTATGCAGTTCTCTAGTAAAGCAGCGACGCCTCGATATGAAGCTGGGAATCTGCACTCAGATCCAGCTGGCCCAGACACCGCACCCCGCTTTTGCCGACCTCCGCAAACTTCGGTTGTCTAGACGCTTCATCGGCTGGGGCGAAAGCTGTCATGCCATTTGGCTACTCTTACTCTTAGTGCTTCAGGTGCCCGGGCTACTGGTGATTGTGCGTCTTATACCACCTTGCCATTCTCGCTCGCACAGTCGCAGGCAAATGCAACTTTTGCTTCTGGCAGTGGGCAATGTCTTACACAACAAGCTGCAAACTCTCCAATTAAGCTGAGCTTGTCAGCTTGTCGTAGATATCGTGCAATCGCAGCTCGTCGATAGGCACGGTCGCTGTGCAGCACTCAGCATGAATGCCGTTTCGCATTCTCACTACCCCGATTGCAACATGCAACCACCATGTCTACATGTGCAATCGCTTGAACAAAGCAGCCACGGCGGTGATCCTCCTGAACCTCGTTTTAAAGCGGTTCCTGCGAAGTGTCTGGGCTCGTCTCGCCAATAATCGGAATGAGCTCAAAGGGCAGCACTTGCACCATGTTCCTTCGAAGGGTCATCTGCGCTGGATGCGATGTGTGGCCCGCATCCGTGATATCCATTTGGCGCGATAGCCATCCATGCACTGCCAATGACAGCCTCAAGCAGCCGACCCCACAGACCAACCACGGCGAACTTAAACCGAAGCACTTCCAGATGGACGGACAGAGAAACATGCCTTAAGTGTACTTTTCTTGGCTGCATCTCGACTTCCCGTAGATGGTGTGAGACGCCTGGTGAGATCTCTTTGAGTTCCCAGGAGAAGTCAATGCAGGGTTGAATTCACAAATAACCAAAAAGCCGCAAGAACCTGTTGATACGCAACCTGCCTGGAGTATTTCATCGAAGGTAGCTGATCTCCAGGCGCATCAGGACGTAACTTGCCAGTACCCCACAACGTCTGAACGGTTGTAAACAACGACAAAAGCTATATCTTCAAGAACCTGCCTTCGTGATTAACGTCGTAAACTCCACGATGCAACAGGCTACAGTAGAGCTGCTTTGGCTCAGGTTGGAGAAGTTGGCGATTCTGGCTGCGAGAAATCCTCCAGCAGCGAGAGCAAGTCGCGTGTCCTGAGGGACCACTTGTTATAGCTATCTACTCTTATCTGTAGTGGGGTCTTGTCGGATTTGCTAGTGCATGGATGTTTGAGTTTGGGCTGAGCGAGTAGCTCTCTAAACCTCTAGACTCTGGTCAAAAAAGCATGCAATGCAAAGGTCCGAATTCCCCCAAGACCAGAACCCCTTTGCCGAAGCAAGGTCTCCTGCCCAAGTCCACGTTGGATGTTTCAGCCAAGCCTTGGGTTCGTGCTGCGCAGGCAGTTGTTGAGCCTCCACACTTGCTACAGGTACAGTTGACAGGGCATGGCAGAAGTCGCTTGGAACGAGCGCGGCTTAGCCCAAATACCTTTTCCCGACTCCTTCCCTTGAGACGTTCAATTCGCCAAGTCTCTGGTTGGCTTGGCCAGCCATTCCTCGTGGCCTCGATGCGCGACGCGCACGGAAGCTGAGCACTGACAGCTACTCGGCTGCTCGCTCTAAGCCCCGCACGCTCGACAGCCTGAGCTTGCAGGAGCTGCAGCTCCGAATCCTTAGGCTCGGCACAGAAGGCGATTGCCGCACAGCTTAGCAGAGTTTAGCAGACTCTGCAATGCTTTGTGTGCAGCGTTTCAGGCCGCAGCCTCTCGCAAAGCTTCCGATGCGAATTTGAGAATGTCACCTGAAACGCGAGACAGGGAGAGGCTCTCGAGACGAGCTGACACTCTTAGTAATTCCCAACTTCTGCAAGCAAATGCAACCAGGTCCAACAGCTGGATTTGAGCCAGGAGGCCACCCGGTGGCATGTGCTCAACAGCGACGCTGACCTTACGGGAACTGTGGCGCGGGCGGATGTCTGATGTCTTGCTTGTTACCAGATAAGCAGTCAGGTTGAGCCAACACGCCTGCGTGGACCATGCATCTGGATCGTTAGTGAACTTCAAATCATTCAAGTTCGCAATGCAAGACCACTCAGCAGATTCGTGTCTGCCATTGTTTGGACAAGCTGCAACTTCCCGATCCTTAGATTCGCTCAAGAAGCAGAGAGTCAAAATCTGCGGGAATCGAGATGCCCGGCAAAAGAGATACGGAACAATGCATGTGATTGTGTCTAGTCCTAGTCGGCTCAGCAGCATCGGGTCCGAGGCACGCCCCTCAGTTCCTCTGAAGCAAATTCCAGAGCGTCCCCGTCCTTACATCCGCGAGGTTGGCTAGACGACAGCTACTGCATTTATCACTGTGTCCGTGAACGCCGGAACACGCTCGCATCTGCAGGCAAGCTTCCCCTTCAACAGCGATCATGACAAGTTGACGATCCTTACACGAGCGAGTACATGGAGGCAAGGTCTGAAGGATCCAGGATACTTCCGGGTACTGACAAGAAGAACTGTCCGAGCTTCAGACTTAACTATGAACGTTAGCAAGGGGTTCCAAAGGCAGGACTCCGATCAAATTGACAATCACTGCACAAGATAAAAACAAAGGACAAATGGTCTCCTGTTTGACGAGTCACAGCCCTCAGCTTGTGTGAGGCCTGCTTCAGCAACAGCGGCATCTTCTTGACCTGGGTGCATGAGAGGCAAATTCATTTCGCAATGCAAGAACCTTGTTTCGAGGCGGGTCGCTAAAACGAGCATCACGTCCCGGTCGCCCGCGAACTCTGCACGAGGAAACCAATCAGAGAAGTCCTGCACATGCTGGCGTGCACACCGCGCCGGGCTCTGCCAAAATCTCGCATTGACTGCGTGAGTCACTCATCATCGACTAATTCTCCAAGCCACAACACTTTGATGGCAAGAACAAAGTCATTGCTGTCACTTACGATTCCGAGACTCGACACATGAAAGCATCGTCAAACCGGGCTCCTTTCCCAGTGCATCGGAGTGACGAGTGCAGCGCTTACTCTGAACTGCAGCCAGAACCAAGTCCTGGAAAGGACACAAGTGCCGCGGATGCTAGGCAGATGATTCGGGATGCTGGGATAGTATTGGTGATCAAGCACTGGAGAACAGGCCTTGTTATCTCGCAGATGAGGAGCTGCATAACCTTGTTCATGCATCAGCGCTGCGCTTGCTGGCTTCAAAGAGATAAGCTGCAAGGACAGGGACTCACATGACGCCCGCATGTACCAGGACTTGAGTGATTTAGGCAAAGCTTTGCAGCTCTGTGGCGCAACACTGTTGGCTGAAGCTGCACTGCCACCTGGGAGGTCACACACCGATCGGGGACAGCCCTGGCCACCTTATGCAGGCCCTAGTTCGGACAGCCCTGGCCAGATGTTCCCCTCTTTTTTAGTTGAGGTCCAGGCTAACATGATGTCGAAGTCGCCGGTGATTGCTCGAGAAACGTGATCGAAGATCTCGTCCTACAAATATGCAGAAGTGAGTTGCTGCCGTTTTTCTGGATAGGACACCACCGAGGTCATCGATAGCATTGCACAGACGGCAACATCAACTTGACACCCTGAAACCTCACTTGCCGTGCTTTACAGATACGTTGCTAATTCTTCCAGTGCTTTGTATCGTCCCTGAGCTCGGCACCACAGACCAAGGATACGTCAGGTGCTTTTGGATCCTTGGAATCAAGAGGAGGCCCGAAAGCTCAGATGTACAAGCACTGACATCGACAGCGGAGGTGGCATCAGGCCCTGTTGCGGCACGAGATTCACTGCCAACGCGAAGTCTTTGTCGTTGCGCAGCCGCTCAGAAGCATGCCCTAAGTGGTGTTTCCAAGGGAACAGATACGTGCGTTGCTCCGACATCCCCATGCCGCACACAGTCGGACACACACACACACACACACACAAGTATCCCTGGAAAACAGCTAGAGCAGGCGACACAACTTACTTCCAACAACGTCTGGGTCGTGGAGGTTCCCCGAAGTACCGAGTCACTCAGGATGCAGACATGAAGCTGAAGTTGCGACAGTTGCTCTTCAGGAGGAACTCCACGACCTGTTCCAGGGCTAGTGACGAAACGCGATAGCGAGGCGAGCCAGCTCTTTCAAGGTGGTAAAAACTGTCCACACATGCAGCAAGTCTATTCAACAGAATTTCATCACTCTCTCCTGCCCGGCGGCCTCTTTGTCGTCCTTGACGGCATCCGTCGCATATTTGAGTGGAACGCCTCAAGGCTAGAGGATTCTTGCAGCGAGCATCGGAGCTGCCAAAAGAGCACCGCTAGAGTCGGGAAGAAGGGGAAGAAGCCTGCTTGCCATGCGCTCCCGAAGCCTGCTGCCGAGGGTCCAAGTTCGCCCATGGCCACCTGGCAAAGTTCTCGGTCTGCCCGCAGCACTTCGGAGAATTCCTCGAGTTTTCATGGAAATGGTTCGTCGCCTGTAGAGATAAAGCTGGGAAAGGATTCCAAGAAACTCCTCAACCAAGCAACAAAGGATTCTGCAAACTGGGTACCGCGGGCTTTTCAGAATGTCCCCCCCCCTAATTGGGCGAAAGAGAGGCGGAAACTGTCAACGGCCAAAGCCGAACAAACCATGCTAAGATTGCTCCAGGCATCTGGAAAAAGAGCGCTCCGACCTGCGGAATCTGCACAGGGAAGTCGGCAGATTCGACGAAGAGACGCTTTAATCACGACTGGGGATAGAGACATAGATAGGCAATGGTATGTGCGAGACTGGCAGATGATGAAGCTTTGCTAAAGTCTGCTCTCCACCACCAACGTGAAATCCTGAATCCTTCATACCCCTCGCTGCAAAGCGCCAGGATGCCTGGTTGTGACAGAAAGGCCAGGGCATCCTTGCGCACCAAGGGCGTGACCTTCCTGATGACATCTTCACGAAGCGAATAAAACTGAACGGGCAGCAGTAGTGCAAGACTTGCCAAGCAACTGGACCAGTTAGTTCTAGTCTCACATTGGTTTGCAGATCATCCAATGCTTCAACTAAGTCAGGATGCTTGCAGCTGGTGAGCCGGGCAAGAGTTACGACCTCGTTCCTCAGCTGGGCGTCGTCGACACATTAGGTAAGCTCAAAGAAAGATCATCCGCAGGATCGCAGGTTCGACAGTTGCGGCAAAAGCAGCTATCATATTCTTGTGGAAAAGCATGTGACGCGTCATGGCGGCTATATCTCATGATCACTGGGCAATGTCTGAAACTGTGAAGCATGTCCACAAGATGTCAAACTGAGTCAAAGCACTGCATGCAGCTTTGAGCTCGTCCGATTTGGAAAATCTGCTTCCGAAATTCAATCAGTCTATGCTGGATTGCATCAACAATTCGCAGCATGCTGCTGACCCTCTTCAGTTTCCAGAAGGCATAGCCTGCAATGTTTTGCACTGCTGCATTGCGGTCTCCCTCGATACTTTGCAGAGTCACCGTAATATACGGGCCTTAAAAATAAAAATTGGGTGTTGGGGTCATTATACTACATTTATCATAAGGAACCATTGTACTACAATTATGATAAGGAACCATTATACATCATCATACTGTATTTATAATAAGGAACCCGCTTTTGTGAACCAATCTGGCTCAAGTTGACCAAGGTACGAGCCGTCTCCACCACCCATGCACCAATCCAGGAACTCCTCATACCTGGCTGCAAGAAACCAGCCATCTTACAATACCGTATTATAACATTACAATATAGTAGTGTCATATGGATAGTGCAGTTTAGTATAGTATGGTATAGTAATGTATAGTATATACGAGCGAATCTGTGATGACAGGCCGGACTCGCTGGATGTTGCCGTCAGTGTTGCGGTCTATGACCTGCAACCGTGTCTCAGACTAGCAATCAAATTGAAGCAACACTTGCACTAATCAACCAAGCATGTTGCCGGGACTGTTGAGCCTATTGCAGACTGGCAGGAAAGCTGGTTGCAGCTTGGAGCACAGCATCTGGTGGTGAGAAGTGCGGAAACCCTGCCAGCCTTCATCAGGCCTTCAACTGCCGCATTGGTCCACCTGCTGCAAGCGGACTTCATCTTACCACCTCAATCTGGATCTGCTGCTGCTGCTGACCGAAGCTGCAATGAGTGGTGCAGTCTGTCCGCATGGCACCTCTTCTTGTCCAGGCGACGTAGGAGCTGTACGAAGGCTTCCCGACCTCATGCGTCAAGTGTGGGTGCGAGATGGTGCCAGCATCTGCAGACTTGGCCAAAGCTGCAGCCGAAGGCTTCCTCCACATCCAAGCGGCTTAGGACTCCCGTCTGCTCCAAGTCTGCCTTTCGGAAGATGGCCTGCGCTCCGTCGTGTCGCATGACTTGACTCGGAACTGCTAAAGAACTGTGGCTGGACAACATCCTGCTGCGAGAGGCGGTTCCACTTTGGGAAATGCTTACTGGACCGTGAAGCATCGGAACTTGAGCAGCCCCCCACCACCGAAACCCTGTACTGGGTTTGGGATTGGGATTTCGAGCTAACTGCTGCAGCGAAACAACGCTCAAATGACAAAGGCCTGCTATACTGCAAAACCGCTTTGCAACCCTGACATATTCCTTTTCGGTCTGTGCAATGAAAAAGCAGAATCGTGGTGCGGAGTGGTGCAGGTGCCACAGCCTGAGGGACACGAAACACGACTGAGGCGATGCCCACTCGTTTCACGAAGGGAGCACATCAATCTTTGAAAAGCTTTTCACAGATCTTCAAATCTTTGTAACCTTTGTTCAAGTAACAGTGTCCATTCTTGAAGTTTTGGTTCTCGGAGCAAAGATAGCACATTGGACAATCCAGATGTTGGGTGCACACCTTCTCTTCCTCGAGGAGGCTGGCTTCCGAGTCTGGCTCGTCATCATCGACACGCTCGGAATCTGGATGGTTGCTGGGCAGGTGACGGCTGACTGAGTTGCGCTTGGACTCAGCCTGGTAAAGGCACATCACAAGAGCCCATAGCACCACGAGGATCTGCCGCATCGCCATGACCGGTGTGGTAAGTGCAAGTCGACAAACAAACGGGTCGCGAATGGCTGATTGAATCAGATGTCAGCTGCGGAAGCACAGCATGTAAACTTTATTCTGTACGGAGGACACCTGAGGACCATAGACACAGACTCGGGCAGATGTATTTACAGAAAGTCATTATGCCATAGTGCCGCGAAGTGCGGCTATAGTGTAGTATAGTATAGCGCAGCATAGCAGGGCAGAGTAACAGAGTTCAGGATTATTTCCGATACAGTATAGTACAGTAACTCATTCTGGAATAAACCCTATGGGTCCAGGCGCCAACGTACTTGTACAATATTATCTTCTCTTATACCTCGGCCTTACAGTACCTAAATCGGGAGTGCTTCAAGGCCATGCTCCATGAGTACATGGACCCTGAAGGAAAGGGATGTAGCTTTTCTTGATGTGCGAACCAAGGGTTTTCGAGCGTGGCCCCAATCCGAGGCCCTACCCCAAACATAGGCGTCTGAATAGTTGGAACCGGGTTTTGGGGTTTATGACAGCTGACTTGGTCATATCAGCGCTAGAAGGTATAAGCGACCGAACCAGACAACAGCAAAACACACGAATCCTGATATCCAGTCAGCACTTCATGCCAGGCCTTGATAAGGGTCACATCGGTCGCATTGAGAGAAGCATGGCTTGGCATAGCTAGCCGAAGCAAAGTGAGAATGAACACGAAGCACACAGTAAGGTTGCACGCCAAGTCCTGCTTGGCTCTTTGATCGCATCCAACATTCTTAGTCACTACACGAGTAGGCGATGTCTTTGCGCAATCGGCCCTTCCGCTAAGACTGCGCCACGTTGGAAGCGCTACGTACTGCACCTTGGAGCCGACAGTCTGGGAACGCAAGGCCGCAACGCTACGTCAACTGCGGCTCGGCTCTGGAGATGGCCGTGAAGGGTGAGAACGAAGCGGCCTGTTTGGTGATCATCTTTGGGTGCCAACAGCTTTGGGCCAAGGCAAACTGGCTGCCAAAGTAGGCCGAGGCGCTCCCAAAGGGACCTTCTTCAAGACCAGGACCACCACTGCACCGGCTGTTGGGCATCTTGAGGCCCCTTAGCCCTCTCATCCCAAGTGCCGATCCATGCTGGTGCCGGCCTGGCAGCCACATCCTTGGTTGCTGCCATTCGTGCCGACTTACTACCTCCAACTGTCCGGGAGTCACGACTTTCTTGAAGGTAGGGCTGGATGAAACGTGGAGGCTCGTTCGTGAGTGTTGCAAGGGGCCCCTGTAACAATACCATGAGTCTTTGCATTGTGCTGCAGTGACATCGACGTACCAAACGCTCCGTTGTCCTTTCCCGTCGACTCTTTGTTCTAACAGGGCTGTTTTGCCATCCCTGTCATTGTGAAACAGATACACTCAGCCAGACTTGACAGTCAAGCATGTGAAACAGTCATCTCATCCCATCTGCTTTCAGTGTTCAGTTTTGCCTGCCTCTGCTCTCACTCAATCCTCTCCCCCGATTGCAGCTGATTTTTGTCGTAGAAGTTGTCCATCATCGTGCAATTGATGTCGTCAGGCCTCAGTCGCACGTGGTTCATGCGTCGACGTGCATGAGCGATGGATTGCTTTAGACACCACGAAAGTTCCCCTTCGCCCGAAAGACAATGCATCGTCGTTCTGCTCGTCGCAGTCCGCAGTAGCGACTTAAACTTGAGGAGTGCAACAAGGTCACAGCTCAGCCATGCCTTCTCAGCACCCGACATAAGAGTACGATCCAGCTTTTTCATGCCATGCTGCGCGACCCCCAACCTCGGATGAGTCTGTAAGGCTCTCAGCAAGATTGCACAGTGAAGATGGCCGCTGAAATTCTGAAAGCAACTAATTACCTGCAACCACGGAACCCGGCTCACACCGAAGAGCCCTTTAAAAATAGCAGATCCAGGCTCAAGCATAAAAAAGCCTCTTTTCCAGGCTCCACCGCGTCTCAAGCACATCACCAGCTTTTCTGGCACCTTAGGCGCCTCAAGGCTGATAGGCAACTCTAGGGTAGATTAAAGAATTCTTCAGCTGGCTTCAGCGGTTAGGGAACTCAGTTCTCAACATATCAGTCTGCTGAAGCCAACTACACTTCTCTGCTGCGGTGATCTCAGTCCCTCACTCCGCGCAGATCAGACATGCGAGGCACCTGGCTCAAACTGGACTCCTGGTGCTACTCTATGCATAACATCTTCCATGAAGTGGCATGCCCGTTCAACTTCTGCGAATCTGCTCACACTGATTTTCCACATGTTGCTGTGCTATTTTGCAGTAGGCGTGAGGAAGCAGAACACTCCCAATGCCGCCTCACACGCTGAATGATGGACCAATAGACCAGGAGTACTTGAAAGCCTCTTCGTAGGCAATCGGAGGCACTTCCTTGGGCAGAAACTCTTTCGTGCTGCATCGGAGGACTGAACGTAGATTACAGCAACATCAACGAGGCCGTTTGTGGCCTAGGCTCCCATGCCTCGTAGCTGATTTGCGTCGCATCCTGCCGGAAAGCGGAGTTTTCGCTACAAATGCAGGACAAAAATCCATAGTGCACTCACATCATCGACCGTCAGATTCAGATTTTCGTGCACCCAATGTCTTCGCACCAACACAGCTCTGGTGAAGGCTCGAGTGACTACAGGTGCCTCTAGCAAGTGTCAAGTCAAACAACGAGTGCTCTGCTTGACGGTTGCAATCAAGCTGTTCACACGTCTAGGTTCGTGCATCATTTTGCGAGCATCGCGCACTGCTACAGAATGCTCGAGCACACGTAGTTCTTCAATATACCCCACAGCTTGTCCTTGCATACCTGCGCTCCGAAGCACAGCTGTCCGATTCCTTCGAAGTACTCACCGGTGACCACATCCTGCTATTGCGAGCGGCCGCAGCACAGGTTGTAATAGCCACTTACGGTGCTTTCACTGCCTGTGCCACCAAGCCAGTAATCGCAATCATGGCGAGGCGTCCGTTATTCAACTCCTGCCCCAGATGTGCGAAGCTCTTTTGGAAGTGTGTACTGTCTGTCTCCTCTTGCAGCACAACACGTGGAGATCTCCTGGCACTGGACGTCCTGCCATCTGTTCCAGATCTTGGAATCATAGCTCTCGTCGATGATGCCCTGCTGCCAGTCAGCGTGCAGGCGAGACCAAGGGGTGACTTGGAGGATCCTGGGGCTGAGTAAGAAGGTTATAATTGGGGTTATAAGCCCCCTCAGTGGGGTTGTCCTAGTGCTGCCCTAGTTATAGCCTTACTTACTAAGTCCCATGAGCCTCTAAGCAGGGTTCATCGAAGCTAGCGGGGTTCGGGTTGAACATGTCGACCCGGCCTTCCAGCCGAGGACATCCCAAGGTCGGTCTGCCGGCGGCTTGCAGATGTAGGTTGTCACCCACTCCAGGCACATAATGGTGAACACGACCTGCCACATACCTTACCAACATCCGCTGCTGAAGCGGGTTCAACTCATGCGACTGTCCAAGATGAGCCACCGCCCATTGGAAGCTGCGTCATGTTGACAAGCGGATTGTTCGACATCTTCTCTCCAATCGCATAGTCCTGCAAACGGTTGATCTCACTGCAGTCTTACTCCAACTGCACTTAGGCCATTCAGCTACAAGTATTGGCTTGTAGTCGGCGGTCTTCTACCATCTGCTGTTACCGTATCATATCATGTCCGATGCATCCGAGTGTCACCCAGGAGGTGGTATCCCGCCGACACATGGAACCAGTGCAGCACAGCGAGCCTGTACTTGGCACAAGACACGACACGAAACTTCCGAGAAGACCGACCTGGCCAATGGCCGCCTGAAAGACATGCCGTAGCAAGATACAGTCTTAACAAGCCTAGCTGCATTGCAACGCGCCCATGCTTGAGCTCGATGGCACGCAGCCTTGCACTCCGATGCACATCGTCACAAGTCTACAACTTGATTTATGATGTTCCGGGACTAAGTCATTTTGCACTGCTTGCCGTCTCCAGTTCAGCCAAGCGTCTGCAGGACTTCCTTTTCCGTTGACCTTGCGGTGATGCCTGGCACAGAACTTCTCCAAAGGAACTCTTCTGAATCAGCTGCCCAGGCTTCTGCAGATCCGGACCGAGACTCGCGCCGGCAGGGTCCCAGAAGCTGTCCTGAAAGGGGCCGCCCGTTCCCACGATCAGCTCCTGACGATTTTGGCCGAGCGTGGGCTCCCGGGCTCTCTAAATTGAACACGCACGCAGTTGTCATGAACCGGTCAACGCAATTCCGAGGACATCGTCTGCGAAGTGGCAGCTGCACTAAGGGAGTATATGAGAAACTAACCCAGGCCCGATGGCATGACTCCTGCGCAGCGCTCAGAGCTCTAAGTGGAGAGTCAGTGTAAACCGACCTCATTTACAATGCACGATCAGGGACTGTGCTGAGCGGTTTGTGCACAAAAGCGAGCCCAGCAGCCAGTCGCCCCATGCCGTGCCGGTCAGACCGTTCCTCGGTGCTCAAGTATTTCAAGCTGTTCTCGGATCAGTGCACTTTGTTGTCGGCTTCCTCGCTCCATCCGTCTCCATCCCTTTACTTGTTTTCTGTTTCTTTCCGAGGCGCTGGAAGAACATGCCAATGATGGCCATCATGGCCAAGCGGCCGTTGGCGATCTCCTCATGGCCGATGGCATAGCCCCCTATCTTGCTCCCGTGGCTCAGGCTTTCCAGCAACGACTTTAAGCATCGAGGTGCGAAGTGGACATGGACATCAGGGAGCACGTCCATTCCCACCCAAGCCCTTTCAGCCGAGTCTCTGCGGAAAGCTTCTTCTCCTTGGTACCCTCAGGGGACTTCACAAAGCCGTTTGGGATGCCCAGGTACCTAAGAGAGCAGAGCTTGCTTATGCCACATCACATGTGTGGACTCATGAGTGGAGAAATTGGCTCACATCACGGGGGCTGCCACCGCTCGCAGTATGCACAGGTGTCTGCATTCAGTGTCAAGCCCGGTTTTGAATGAGAACGGGGGATGTAATACAATTGATCTTGGCAAATCCAGGAATTATGCTGTTGCGTCTCAGGCGCCCGGCATTCTCGAAGTCACCAGGGGCCCTCTGGGGATCGTCGACATACCTACAAGGCAAACTCAGCTCGGCTAGGAGTCCGAGCTGTAATCACGTCTAAACTGCTTTGCAAGCGACTGAAAGAGTTCGACGGAACCAGCGAACGCAACCATCTGTGCCCAGCCGGACAGCGGCACCTTCGTTCGGGACGTTGCAGGGGCTTTGCTCTGCGATGCCAACCGAGCCCAAGCCTTGCTGAAGGCTGCGAAGCCCGTGGGGACATCGGTGAACCTCGGAAGAAGCGAAACCAGCGACGTCGTCAAGTACGCGACTCGGGCGGAAAAAGAAAGTCGCCGGGCCACTTCAGGCCCAAAGAAGGGGAGAGGTCACCGGGCCATCGGTAGTACTCTGGCACAATGTATCCCAAACAGGCCAGCCTCGGAACGGTCAGGGCTCGGGAGGAGACAGCTTCGAAACCCATTAGAAGCCAACATGGGGCAACTACCTTTGCTGGATGCTTGTGCTTGCATCTTAAATCTTGCGCTTGACAAGCCCTGAACCCTGAATGCAGTATACCCCGTTTAATCCTCGGCCGAAGGGCATGGCTACTCTGCCATGTTTCAGTTCCACGTATCGCCGGCGGCGGAAGGAGGCGGCATCGCCACCCTTTCCACTGCATGCGTGCAGGATCGGGAGTCAATAAGTTTTCTCGCAAATCCGGGTGCTCCATAGTTTGGGAAACATGCGACCACTGTTGAACAAGCGCTGCAAGAATGACAGGGATGCATGCTAGTAGAAGTCTCTCGCCGGGTCCTTGGTAAACCCGAGCGGGTCCCAGAAACCGGCAGGAGCTTGCACCTAGCGCGGGTTCGTTTTGGATGATGTTGCTTGCATGAGGCCACCTACAACCTGATACAAGTCTTGGCACTCCGAGCTCGTTCTCGAACGCGCTGGAGCCGGTGTACCTCAGGCTTCCACGCAGTACGACCAGGGTAGAAACAGAAGAATTCGTTTGACAGGGCCGTGCTGTCGTCGACTCGGGAACCATTGCGGAGCCAAGCTTGTTGCGATCCGAGCTTCAGTCCATATGGAGTGCCGAACAGCCCGTTCTGGACCCAAAGGCCGACAATGGCCATCATCGCCTCAGCTTCACGGCTGAGCAACACTGCTCGGAATGCCATGGCACATCCTTCCAAACTCATCCAGAAAGTCAATGCAAGGTGCATCAAAGGGGATTGACTCGAAACGGCCGAGCTGATTTGCACTAGCTCCAGCTCTTTTTCTGTTGCTGGCAGAGTCGCCAGGCGACCGTTGGCAAGCTCGGAGTTTCTTCCACGCGTGCGTGCCTGCGCGGCGAAGCTACATTCAGGCGACGCGGAACCCCCCCCCCAAGTGACTTCCTCCACACGGCTCCGACCAGTCAGCCCAAGAACTATGAGACAACGCCATCGATCCGTTGAGAAAATCAAGCATGTTCCATTCAGCCACAGCCTGCCTCGTCGTCTGCCATAGGCTCAGCCGTGATGCCAAGGACCATGTTACCATAACCCAGCCTTGAGGGCTTGCGATTCAGGTGCACTCAGATAGGTCCTTTACGCTCCTTGGAAGTTTCTACAGCTAGGCGCACAGCCAAGTGACTTGCCCTTGCCGTAGTTGCCAGGGTCTGCAGGGTCCACTGGCTGGTTGACGCAAAGCCTGGACTCTCGCCACGCACGACTAATGAAGGCTTACTACTAGATGTTTGGCTTCTGACATATGCCATGGCTACATTCAGCAAGCTGGCTCGTAGCAGCCGCAGAGGGCGACCCACTGCAGCCAGCCCTCGGCAGGCACCTCCAGACTCACAGTCGGAGCGGCGTCGCATCCGAACTTCGACAGCTAAGATATGCTGAGGGCCACCCACATCAAACAAGCACAGCGGAAACCTTACACTGGCTGACAAGCTTATTCCAGAGGTTGAGGGTTCAGCTATGTTCAGCCTTATCGCACGCTTGCAGCGCGTAGGCTGGACGCTTCCGACATCAGTGCTTCGTGCTTGGTGATTTGTCACTCTTGAGCCGCCTTGGTGATTGCGCCGAGTCCGTTGGGCACATCCGCAAATTTCAGATTCGAAGATGGCGCCAAGTAGCCCGGGAACTTGAAGTATTCTGGAACTATATATCCCATCGTGGCAAACCTGTCAGAGCAGTTCCTAAGCACTGCTGATTCATGCATGTGTGCCTGACTTCCGTTCCAAGCTGCATGGCGACTCGACCATTCTTGATCTCGGACTCTCTGCGGCGCCGGAAAGTTTCAACATCACCGTCCTGATCGTGGAAACTTGACGAACAACACCCCCTCGAGGCAGCATTCCCTGAAGCAAGTCGCCATGAGACTTTCTGGAACTCTCATGCTGACGTAAGTCCTTGGAGAGACCGAGCGGGTCGAAGTAACCCAGGGGTGCCTGCATCTGATCAACAAACAGCCGTGATTCCGCTGACCCGTACACTCCCCGAACTGCATGCTGCATTCCCGAATTGTTGAATACCATGTGCGAATAAATCCTCAGCACCTGCACACCGAGTTCATTCTCGAAGGCTCGCAGAGGGGAGTCAACGTAGTTCGCCCAATCGCCCCAGGCCGAGCCTACAACGCGCGGGGCTTCGGTTTGAACCCCCATACTCCAAGTCCAGATAGGAAATATCATCTTGTGACCAAGGATCCCGTGAGCCCGTTCTGGAAGAACATGCCGATGATGGCCATCATGGCCAAGCGGCCGTTGGCGATCTCCTCATGGCCGATGGCATAGCCCCCTATCTTGCTCGCGTGGCTCAGGCTTTCCAGCAACGACTTTAAGCATCGAGGTGCGAAGTGGACATGGACATCAGGGAGCACGTCCGTTCCCACTCAAGCGCTTTCAGCCGAGTCTCTGCGGAAAGCTTCTTCTCCTTGGTACCCTCAGGGGACTTCACAAAGCCGTTTGGGATGCCCAGGTACCTAAGAGAGCAGAGCTTGCTTATGCCACATCACATGTGTGGACTCATGAGTGGAGAAATTGGCTCACATCACGGGGGCTGCCACCGCTCGCAGTATGCACAGGTGTCTGCATTCAGTGTCAAGCCCGGTTTTGAATGAGAACGGGGGATGTAATACAATTGATCTTGGCAAATCCAGGAATTATGCTGTTGCGTCTCAGGCGCCCGGCATTCTCGAAGTCACCAGGGGCCCTCTGGGGATCGTCGACATACCTACAAGGCAAACTCAGCTCGGCTAGGAGTCCGAGCTGTAATCACGTCTAAACTGCTTTGCAAGCGACTGAAAGAGTTCGACGGAACCAGCGAACGCAACCATCTGTGCCCAGCCGGACAGCGGCACCTTCGTTCGGGACGTTGCAGGGGCTTTGCTCTGCGATGCCAACCGAGCCCAAGCCTTGCTGAAGGCTGCGAAGCCCGTGGGGACATCGGTGAACCTCGGAAGAAGCGAAACCAGCGACGTCGTCAAGTACGCGACTCGGGCGGAAAAAGAAAGTCGCCGGGCCACTTCAGGCCCAAAGAAGGGGAGAGGTCACCGGGCCATCGGTAGTACTCTGGCACAATGTATCCCAAACAGGCCAGCCTCGGAACGGTCAGGGCTCGGGAGGAGACAGCTTCGAAACCCATTAGAAGCCAACATGGGGCAACTACCTTTGCTGGATGCTTGTGCTTGCATCTTAAATCTTGCGCTTGACAAGCCCTGAACCCTGAATGCAGTATACCCCGTTTAATCCTCGGCCGAAGGGCATGGCTACTCTGCCATGTTTCAGTTCCACGTATCGCCGGCGGCGGAAGGAGGCGGCATCGCCACCCTTTCCACTGCATGCGTGCAGGATCGGGAGTCAATAAGTTTTCTCGCAAATCTGGAGTTGAACAAGCGCTGCAAGAATGACAGGGATGCATGCTAGTAGAAGTCTCTCGCCGGGTCCTTGGTAAACCCGAGCGGGTCCCAGAAACCGGCAGGAGCTTGCACCTAGCGCGGGTTCGTTTTGGATGATGTTGCTTGCATGAGGCCACCTACAACCTGATACAAGTCTTGGCACTCCGAGCTCGTTCTCGAACGCGCTGGAGCCGGTGTACCTCAGGCTTCCACGCAGTACGACCAGGGTAGAAACAGAAGAATTCGTTTGACAGGGCCGTGCTGTCGTCGACTCGGGAACCATTGCGGAGCCAAGCTTGTTGCGATCCGAGCTTCAGTCCATATGGAGTGCCGAACAGCCCGTTCTGGACCCAAAGGCCGACAATGGCCATCATCGCCTCAGCTTCACGGCTGAGCAACACTGCTCGGAATGCCATGGCACATCCTTCCAAACTCATCCAGAAAGTCAATGCAAGGTGCATCAAAGGGGATTGACTCGAAACGGCCGAGCTGATTTGCACTAGCTCCAGCTCTTTTTCTGTTGCTGGCAGAGTCGCCAGGCGACCGTTGGCAAGCTCGGAGTTTCTTCCACGCGTGCGTGCCTGCGCGGCGAAGCTACATTCAGGCGACGCGGAACCCCCCCCCCCCCAAGTGACTTCCTCCACACGGCTCCGACCAGTCAGCCCAAGAACTATGAGACAACGCCATCGATCCGTTGAGATAATCAAGCATGTTCCATTCAGCCACGGCCTGCCTCGTCGTCTGCCATAGGCTCAGCCGTGATGCCAAGGACCATGTTACCATAACCCAGCCTTGAGGGCTTGCGATTCAAGTGCACTCAGATAGGTCCTTTACGCTCCTTGGAAGTTTCTACAGCTAGGCGCACAGCCAAGTGACTTGCCCTTGCCGTAGTTGCCAGGGTCTGCAGGGTCCACTGGCTGGTTGACGCAAAGCCTGGACTCTCGCCACGCACGACTAATGAAGGCTTACTACTAGATGTTTGGCTTCTGACATATGCCATGGCTACATTCAGCAAGCTGGCTCGTAGCAGCCGCAGAGGGCGACCCACTGCAGCCAGCCCTCGGCAGGCACCTCCAGACTCACAGTCGGAGCGGCGTCGCATCCGAACTTCGACAGCTAAGATATGCTGAGGGCCACCCACATCAAACAAGCACAGCGGAAACCCTACACTGGCTGACAAGCTTATTCCAGAGGTTGAGGGTTCAGCTACGTTCAGCCTTATCGCACGCTTGCAGCGCGTAGGCTGGACGCTTTCGACATCAGTGCTTCGTGCTTGGTGATTTGTCACTCTTGAGCCGCCTTGGTGATTGCGCCGAGTCCGTTGGGCACATCCGCAAATTTCAGATTCGAAGATGGCGCCAAGTAGCCCGGGAACTTGAAGTATTCTGGAACTATATATCCCATCGTGGCAAACCTGTCAGAGCAGTTCCTAAGCACTGCTGATTCATGCATGTGTGCCTGACTTCCGTTCCAAGCTGCATGGCGACTCGACCATTCTTGATCTCGGACTCTCTGCGGCGCCGGAAAGTTTCAACATCACCGTCCTGATCGTGGAAACTTGACGAACAACACCCCCTCGAGGCAGCATTCCCTGAAGCAAGTCGCCATGAGACTTTCTGGAACTCTCATGCTGACGTAAGTCCTTGGAGAGACCGAGCGGGTCGAAGTAACCCAGGGGTGCCTGCATCTGATGAACAAACAGCCGTGATTCCGCTGACCCGTACACTCCCCGAACTGCATGCTGCATTCCCGAATTGTTGAATACCATGTGCGAATAAATCTTCAGCGCCTGCACACCGAGTTCATTCTCGAAGGCTCGCAGAGGGGAGTCGACGTAGTTCGCCCAATCGCCCCAGGCCGAGCCTACACCGCGCGCGGCTTCGAATTTCAGCTATTCAGAATATAAACCCCATCGCGTGGCAAGTGTTGATATCCTAAGCAAAGCTATACTTTTGCAACCAAGGCTCCTGTGAGTCCGTCCTGGAAAAACATGCCAATGATGGCCATCATGGCCAGGCGACCATTTGCAAGCTCGGCATTGAGCTTCTTCTGACGAAGCTCAGGATCGCTGATGGCCTGCACACGCGGCAAACGAGATGCTTCACTGTCACTGGGAGGCAAGAACCAACACTAAGACATACAAATAACGCACCTGCGCGAGTCCAACGCACGGGCGAAGTTCACGCAGAATCAATGAAAAGACCCCGACACAAACATGCAGAAAGAGATAGACGGCCCTGAGCCACCGGGGACGTCCTCAAATCCATCAGTCAGAATCACCAAGCCTAGCCCTTGAAGCACGGCGCATACACATATACGAGTCAACCACGGTTCAGGCCATCTCAAGAGCGAAAACTTCCAGCTGCCTGGCCGCCCAGGTAAGTGGGGATGCCCAGGAAGCCATACCTATGCAAATCCGCGCTGTTGAGAAGAATCAAGTCCACACTCTCTGCACCAAGATGCAATTTAAACAGACAGTGCGTCTGTCTGTGCAAAGACTACGGAGCAAGACAAACCAGCCGCGTTGCTCGTAATTCAATGCTTCATCGCCAAAGAGGCGAGTGGTCAACTTGCCCGGAGGGTTGCTTGCTGCCTCAGGGAGCTGTTTCTGTTGCAGAAACGGGGGACCCAGGAGAGGCACATCCCTTTCGACGATAGTCGGTCGTGGGTCGTCATTTTTGTTGGCAAACGCTTGGCCAGAAGCGAAGTTCAAGTCTTGCGCTGGCCTGGTGGCACAACCAAAGGTCGCAGATGCCACAGAAGACGGTATACTGGAACCATCCGACTGCAGGGACCTTAAGCGGACCGGGCTGCCGTGATCTTCTACGTGCACTTGCTTGATTCCATGACACCCGAAAAGGTGCCTTCGTCACCGCTGCCAAACCATTGGGCACGTCGGAGAACTTGAGATCTGTGGACGGAGAAAGGAATCCTACGAGGGAGCATCCGCGAAATTCGTCATCTGTATTGCACATCGCTGCCGAGAGTAGCTCCTGGGAATCTAAAGAACTCCTGCACGATGTAGCCAGTGCAGGCCTTGTTTTCCAGAACTGGATGTGCGCAGTGAAAACAACTCACCCTACGGGGTTTCTGGTGCCCCCTTGCATCCAAAGGACGAGCATGGACACGCGACCGTGCTTGAGCTCAACGACACGGCGGCGCTTGAATTCCTCAGACTTTACCAGATTCAGTTGATTCACTTCAGCTAGATTGATCAATGCTGAAGAGAGGAAGGCAACATGGCAATGTCTTTTGAGGCAATCGGAGGAATGTCGATCCCCTCAACAGCCTCTACACCTGAAGCCAAAGCACGAGTGCATCACCGTCAGAGGTGAACCCTGCCAGCAGTCCAGACTGGTACAGAGCATGAGCATGACTCACAAAGCACAGCTGGCAACGAATGATCACGCCTGCTGGATCCCAGAAACCGACGGGAGCTTGCACACCAAGCTCGTTTTCCTGGGCAGAACAATCTAGAGTCTAGCTACACCTTCTCCATGAAGTGACACATCGCTGGCCCTGGCGTGTGACCGAAGGCGTGGCGTAGCAACAGGCTCTCTCCGAATCTCTCTACGCTTCTTTCCTGTGTCGCCGGTGCAGGGAGACATATTGGCGCCGGCACTAGTACCGAATCCAGAAATGCTGTGCAACTCCCGCCGTGTCTACGACAACCTTTTCTTGCAAGGGTCTCCGCAACATGCGGTGGCCCAGCTGCTTTGATGCAAACACGGGGCGAAAGCACGCACCACCACGGTGCTGCGCGTGGTCGGGCGCTGACTCTTTGCAGCTAGAGCTCCCAAGGCGACGCCTGTGGGAACGCACAAGTCGGCTGCCGAGAAAGGACACATATGGAATGGCAGAGCGGACAGCGACATAGACGATCTCACAACCCGTATCTCCGTATCCCGACTCCCCTTCTCAACAGAGTCTCGGCTCAAGCAACGATCTCGATCGGTCCCCGAATGCAAGGGTCCAGAGAGGCCTGCACCGGCTCCCAGCACGGTGGTCGACGAGAGGCCCTTCGGGACACAACTTCACGTCCGGAATGCGTGGCCCCTGCAGCTACAGCTGGCCTGGGACTGTGCCTGGGCCCTGGCACCGCGCAGAGCTGGGGCGCTTGGCGCCTGCGACATGGCAACGTTGTGGGTTCTTAGCACTCTGCAGACATCTCGCCGCGCCTTGCCGGCTGGGGTCACAAAAGCGGTGGAGGCGGCAGCCGCAGCCTTGCAGTGGCAGCAGGGTTGCAACGAGGCATGCAGGCAATCACATACTCCAAGTTCTTTCAATCGAGGCTCGGCCAACCCGAGGGCAACGACCTCAACAAGAGAGGAAGGACAGTGTGTCCCAGCTCCTCTCTACATGACAAACTGATCTGGCAAGAAGTTTCCTAGTGTGCAACAGCTTTGTCTTTGAAGCCTTCCGGCGGTAGGACCGGATGGTCAGTTCACACGGTCACACACACACACACACTATCTTTGAGATTTGAGGCACTAGCAGGTTGTCACAGTTTGCTGTGATACAGTCATGACGCAGTCAGTGATTAAGCGAAAGCTCCAAAGCCAGAAGGCATCCCGGAGCTCCCTGGCTACGAACCTCCCCTCGCATACGTGGACAGCTTTAACTTCTTCATGAGATGCGTCAAGTCGAGCCATTTAAACGCCATCTCCAAGCGGCTTCTTTGCTCGGGGCCATGTGCAGAGATAATTAAGTGAAACGGGTGGAGCCTGGAATAATAAAAAGAAGTCCTCTGTGCCAAAATGGCTACGGACTGGACACCGCAGTGACAAAGGGCCCACGTGGTTACCTGACATCTGACATCAAGAAGCGATTCTGGTCCGGCGGAATGTGATCGCTTGATGAGAACCAAATGACAGTGATGATCTGCTTCGGAACCAGACAACCAGAAAAGTGCTTCTCACACACTTGCCAAGATGCGTCTCAATCGTAGGCTTCCACCCATACTTGTGGGAAGTGCAGTTGGGCTTGGCCTCAGCCATGTCTTTGCAGCTACCCGCTTAACAGATCCTGTCAAACACACTTCAAGAGCAAACTCATGGATAGCACATCAAACATACACAAGAATGACAATCAACACCTCGTTGTGATGCGACTGTCAAGTCGAGGCACATATCGCTGCTGAGGCAACAGCCTGCACGACAGCAAAGCGAGGGCGTTGTGCCAGTACAGGCACGAGATATCTTCGAACTGCAAGTTCTGCCTGTGGCGGTGCATCAGCCGATGGCGGTCGTTGATGAACTCTATGTCCTGGAAAAAAGGCTGCTATCATGGTTCTTCTGCGATGATGCCGCAGCTTCTCAGGTCCTCCTCCGGTCGAGGAGGTGGCCAGCTGGCAGCAGGCTTGCTCCCGGAGTTTAGAACCTCAAACCAAAATTTGTGTAGACTGCCGAGGCATCTAGAGCCCAGCGACCCAGCCTCCTGCCCCGCACTTTGCAGGGACGGCGCTGAGGCCGTTTTCTTCAGGGCCTCGGCCTGAGCGGCCTCTGCGGCCTCTCGGAGTTCAGAACACCCGGGTACATCAACAGATTGCTTTGACCCCTTGTCCCTACACCTAAACACTTGGAGATTAGATTGCAGCATGCACGTATGATCTGCGACTCGCCTGAAGGGCTTTGTGTCAAGATCCACAGTATCAGGTGGCTCAGTAAGTGTTCCTGTGATAATCCCGTCATCATCCGTTCTCCCGACGACTGGCGGGTACTAACTGTACGGATGCACCCATCATCGCAGTACTGATAGCTATGCCTCCTTTCCGATACTCGATTTTGCATGGTCTCGTGCAGACGAAGCGAGACCGGTCTGAACACCGGTTGCGAGAGCATAGCAGCGACATGTCAAGATGCGTACAGGCATGTCGCGTATCGACATGGGTGGTTGTCAAAATTATGGTCCCTTTCTGGGTCCCTAATATAGTCCGGCACCTAATATTTAGGGTACCCAAAAAGGGGACCTTAATTTTGACAACCACCTACATATCACGGCATGTAGAACAGAGGCTTAGCTAAAGGGACAGAGCAGAGTAGACACATTTCGCTCCCTGTAGGAGAAGCAGTACTACATATGCGGAACCTGTATTTTCATATGGTATGTGCAGTTGCATATATACCTGTCACAGATGGGTTCATAAACAACTAAGAAGAGGCTTGCACAGGCATTTCCAGCATGTCTGGGATAGAATCTGATGCATCTGGAAAACTGCTCGTGTGTGAACAAACACATTCATTCACGTCTGTATGTCGCGATTATGTCCTTGTCATACGGTGAAGTGCCCAGTGGGCTCTGTCTTCACTGCAGTTGAATGTGGTGCTTGACATTCATGTGGCATTGCCAAGCCCGATTTCTTCTGGTATCTTCTCGCCTCCTTTCGCATCTCGGAGCGCAGCCGGCGTTTTGGAGCCTCCGGCAGCAGATCTTTCGCATATTTGGTGGGAATGCAAAAGCCCCCTTCGCCAGAGGCCTTGAAGAAGCCCCACCGGGGTTCCCACTCGCGCTGTAACCTTGCTTCATGACATCACTTCAAGACGAGTCCCAGTAGATTGCTATTCATCCATTGGAAACTTCATCAAAGGATGACGAAGGGGGTGCACTGCAGTGTGACTGCGCGGTTGCAATGCGCACTAATTGCAGCTGGAGCACTTATACTCCTCAGTTCTTCAGCTCAACCGCAACACAATGAGCTGAAGACGTTCGAAGCGCGTTGATCAGTCTCCCATGCTCGAACACATCGTTTGATTGCTCGTGGAGTCTGAGAAGTTGTAGGCAAATGCAGGCTGCTTCAAGCAATTGCCACCACGCCACCATCGTGAGCAATGTCCGGTAGTTCCTTGTGAAACATCGTGCAACTGGGGCATGCGCAAAACTGGAATGTAGCAGCAATCCAACAGGAAACAGTTGCAGTCAAGCCATCTTTGCAGCGGCAGTATGCCGCAGCGCAGCTAAAATTACTTGCAGATCTACCACAGCATCTCTGTCTGCAGCTGTCTGATTGGTCTTAGCCGAGGCTCTCAATTGCATCTTTGGTGTCAAGTCCCTTTCGGCCAGCCATGGCTCTGGTAGAAAGGCCTGTGAGCCTGAAGGCCAGCAACCTAGGCAAGCTTGTTCAATGTTTTGATGCGGTTTTACTGAGGAGGCTCGCAAACGGCTTCACCCCTCGTTCGAGCCAGCTGTCGGTGCAAGAAGCGGTCGTGCTCATTTCACCAGCCCACTCAGATCAGCAGCTGATGCACTCCACGAGTTTGTACATTGTACCGACATATCTGTACTTTGCCGCACAACCTTCCATTTACCAAGCTGTGGCTGACTGGTACATTACGTCATCGTATCAGGTACGAACACGACGGACTTCTCACCACTTCTTCTTAAGCTTCTCCGAGGCGCGACGAAGAAAAAGCCTGAACGAGGCAAAGAAGTTGCGCGTGGTATGCGTGGTGCACCCAGCCCTAAGCGCGAGCCCCAAGTCGAAACCCCAAGCAAGGAAAATCGAGGCCTGCAGGCTCCAGACCGGAGGCGGGGCCATGGGCCGATGCTTCTTGCAGCTCACAATGCGCCGGAAAGCTCAGCAAGCACAGGTTTACACGTAGCGACAACGGGGCTTGGGCTGCCTTGCTCGCATGAGTATTTTGTCTTCGCTGCCTTACCCCAGTGACAACTGCCTTTTGTAAGTTGCTGGGAGCCGGCGTCAGCCACATGGCAACTGCAACAACTTACCTCCATCCTAGTTCCTAGTTCCACTCTACGAGGCGCAGCTGTATCTCACGAATGCAGAGAGCCCTGCCCACTTTGCAACAGATTCTCGACCCTCAGAAATAGACAGACCACATCCACACTTCTACTATTCTTCGCCCTGCCTCCACTTGGCTGTAGACGAACGTGTACAAATTAAGCTGCGCAGCAGGGACAAGGCTCAGATTCGTGACTCACTGGTGTACATGTCCTAGTGATCTAGTGAAGAGCTGCGACGACGTCACTGAACTCAGCTGCAGATGTTCGTGCTCAGACACGCAGTCAATCAAGCCGGTGCATTCAAAGTGCCAACACCACAGGATCTACGTAGTCCAACGAAGAGACGAAGCCTGGCCTGGTCGCAAGCAACAAACACCGTGGAATCCTGGCTTCGTGTCGAGGCTCCAAGCACCAGCAGCACGCTTGTGACCGCTACCAGTAGTAAGCAAGAGTGATGTTCTGCCAAGCCGAGCGTCCGAACTGTCCCACAGGATGCGATCAGCGGTGTTGGGGAAGTCGGCGATGGGAATACAATCATCGTTGACCTCCATGCTTCTGCTTCACTAAATGCACAGATCTCACATTGATGTAATGAAGATCTGTGCCACAGTCCATCGATCACTGCGCCCGGTACAGGTCAGGCATTCTGGGGCGAGCGCCGGATTGTACCTTGCAGATGGCCAAGCTTCATCTATGCAGTTCTGCCTAAACCATCTTTCCAAAGCAAAAGCATCGGGAACTTCTAGTCGAGTGTGATCCAAGCTGCAACCAGGCATTGCCGGAGTTGTCAATCAAGGCAACCTGCAGTGACACGATGTGGGCCGGGGACGGAGCCTCGGACCTCTGCTGTGGAAATGCCCCTTATGGGGTAGACGACTGCCTGCTCCATTTCAGAGATCACTTGAAGTGGGAATTCGTGCACGGCAGCCGTGCAGCAAGTTTGAATGCCGGGCAGGAAGCACGAACCAGCAAACAGCCATGGTCACTGTTGCACCCCGCGGCAGAAAACGAATTCTGTGAACCACCCCGTACCTTCTGGATTCCGTGTCCAAGTCGAGCTGGTTTCGTCCAGTGGATGCCATCAGGGTGAGACCGGCAGCTTAGTCTGAGGTTGGAGCCCGAGTTCCCTCGTGATTGGGATAGCACCTCATTCTGTTTCAAGGCGCTCATACACTGCTTTCGCAGATCTCTGGGCGGCTGTTTAAACCCTGACGTCTGAGGAAAAGACTTCCGAATTCCGTTCGAGTGCTTGTACTCATTGACCTGCACGGAACAACAGTAGCCCATCGCCTTCCCGTCAAACCATGTCAACCCATTGCACACGAGGCAAGCGATGCAGACAATGCAGACTATGACTGGTAAGGCCATGCGAGCGTTCTGAAATCAATTCATGTGTGTCGCCTCCTGGCCATCTACCAGTGAATAGTACCTCAACAGCTGCACCAAAGATCAAATATCAGCCTGCATATTCATTGTCCCACCACTCTGGTCTACTTTTGGGGCCGAGAGCGCTCCACTAACATAGTCACTAATTCTAGTCCAATGCCAGGAGCCTGCACTGCCGATGCGGGCAAGGCACTGCAAACGACCGTTGGAGTGAGCGTAGATCAGAAAGTTGCCCACAATGGAGGCACAAGTGACACTACGGTCATCCTCCTGCGGAGAGCAGGCTGCGGTCATAACCTTGACTAGACGTGACCAGGCAAATGGATCATTGTCGTTCCTTTCTTGGGAAGATGGTTGTCTTCCCGTCACCGCTGCGGGGTTCGATCTGGTGCAGGTACCTCGAAACCAACAAAGGTTTTGCCGGGCGTGTCCGGTAAGGGCCGTCGTGCTTCTGCATGCAATGGATGGCACTTGCACTGATTTTTTTCGAAGCCGCACACGCTCCAAACGACAGGACCACCTACTTGCAAATTACAAGTTCTTCGCCAGCTAATTGAACTCTCCCTGAGATATAGATACTTTCGGTATGCGAACATGTATGCTCTCCACTAGACGCCAATCACAACCGGAGACGACAGATTCTTCAACGCCTTCAGGACCTCGGTTTGTCACTGCCAGACTAAAACATGCCAGGTAAAGCTCGGCTCAAGAAAGCCGCAAATTCATCCAAATTCAAGCGAGAGCTTAGCTTCCCATCGGCCGAGATGCAGAGAAGGGCACGACTCGCGAAGTTCTTTGACTAAGCGGTGTCCCTTTCACCTGCACAGAGCTGGAGTTGCACGGAGGTTGATTGAACGGGTCTACCTCAAGTCGTCGCAGTCTTCTCACGGCAGCAAGGTCAAGGCAAAGCACCTCTAGGTTTATCTGGCCACAGCCGCCCCGCAGCATGACACGATTTGTTGGGCCAGACCTCACATGACGAATGAATCTCGGCAGAGCTACATTCATCCGCTCGTCTTGCTGCTTGCATAGGCTTCCGGCACTGTAGGATCGGCAACCAATCGGACGTTCAGCCTTTTGCAAGTGCGTTCTTCAGGTGCTGCTTGGGCAAGCAGGTGCACTCGGCGGAAGATTATCAGACAGGCCTCAATCAATGACAAACCCTTGGATGTGTGACGGACATATCATGCACCGCTTCAGCACCGAATGGTTCCTCAACACGGAGCAAAAACTGATCTACAGTGGCCGCTCTCGGATTCTGTCAGCTTACTGAGGCTCGAGATGCTGGGATCTTGTTAAGGAACTTATTTTAAGTTACCATGGTAAGGAAACCATATTATTTACCGTACGTCCGTAGTATGGTAACATAAATTAAAGTCTTTAACAAAAACTCAGGAAGTGGCTCCTCTTCGGCTGGAACACCTTACCCTCTCAATGGAAGCTTGAATCGTTGAGGCCTGTCCAGACCAACTGTTGCAAGCGCCAGTGCCGCAGCAATGTTGGCATTCTTTGGGAACTGGCTTGCAGCCTCATGGCAGAATGAATAGGTGGTAGTTTTCACGTTTCAAACCGCGGCTCGCATGAACCTGATTTGCATCCAGGGAACTTGGAACAAACTTCCGACAACCAGAAATGGAGTGCAACGTGCACTACAGAGAAAGCCGGGTTAAATCACATGCGCACGAAGCGAACCTGGCAAGAATCATGCTGTCACTATCAGAATTCTTGGTTTCCGGCTTCTCGCGCGGGTCCTGAAGCTGATGTAGCACTGCATGTGAAGGCAACAAATGTTTCTTAACCTACGATGTTAAGCTGGTGCACCCTGACGGCTCGGCAATTCTTAAAATCGTGCGTTGAATTTCTGCTTATCGTTGCAACCATTTCATCCCTTCTACAGTTGTGGTACTGGGCGCTGGGGTTATCTCACATCAGCTGGTGAGAATACACATCAATGCCGACAGACGCTGGTTTAGGGAGAATACACATCAGCGGGAAATTTACACATCAGAATTACCTAAACCCCATGTAGACGCTGGTTTCAAGAAGCACGCAGCAGGTAGGCCAAAGTGCCGGATTTGTTGCGGACGATGAGGTATATACTACATTTGGAAGCATTCCAAGATAAGAAAGCAGTGCGTTTGCCAAGTAGACGCTGGGATTTGAAAGTGGCATGCTACTAGTATAAGACTGAGAGGATGCCTGAACCCGCCACGGAAGCATGAAAAGCAACCCTGAAAAATGGGTGGTGAGTAGGTCGCTATATTATAGTCCTACGCGAGTCCCGCGTGACCCTGCGCGAGTCCTGCGCGACGCAGATGTGAGCAGAAGACTCTTTGGGCTTCAAAAACCGACAGGCACAGACCGCACCAGTGCATATGTATACAGATGTCTAATACATAAGCTGCAATACTCAAGCACACACTAGTGCGAAGATGAGGGCGCACAAGCCCACTGACACTGACAAATTCGAGAGCGTGCTGCGGACGCCGAAGAATATGAAGGTGAAGATACAGAGCTTGATAAGATGATATAACGTTTATAATGCGTTCCCCGAAGTAGACGCCTTGCAGATGCGTAAAACACCCAGGTGATACGAGATAGCCCCGGGACCAAGTACCAAAACACGAAAGCAGGGAAAGCTCCGGTTGAAGTAGAGTCTGCAGATCCCTGCTTTCGATCCGCAACTTAAAACAGAGAAATCTTGATGGGGCAAGCTACACTCGTTGTTACAAGAATGAGTCTCACCGTAGAAAGCATTCAACAGCTGTCGAACCAAATGTCGCAATGATTGAAACATTCTTGAATTTTGGAAAGTTGCAGCAACACCCAACATACCTTCCCAGTGTTCATACCCGAAGCCGTGCAGGACCAGTCACCGAGGCTTCTGAAACATACAAGAACTGAACATTATGAACATGATAGCAATGACGATTATCATGATGATGCCGATGTTGTTGATGGTGTGAGAACGCTGGTGAACGTCATAATTAATCGTACTACTATGTACTACTGCTTCTGCTACTGCTACTGCTACTACAGCTACGACTACGACTACTACTGGTACTACTGGTACTACTGGTACTACTGGTACTACTGGTACTACTGGTACTACTGGTACTACTGGTACTACTGGTACTACTGGTACTACTGGTACTACTGGTACTACTGGTACTACTGGTACTACTGGTACTACTGGTACTACTGGTACTACTACTACTACTACTACTACTACTACTACTACTACTACTACTACTACTACTGTAGTAGTCGTAGTCGTAGTCGTAGTCGTAGTCGTAGCTGTAGTAGTAGTAACATGCAGTAGTAGGAATAGTAGTAATACCTCTACGAGATATAATGAGTATTGCTTCTATTATTAGTGCTACAGTACCTCTTGCAAACATACACTCTCACTTTACTGTTATTGGGTGCCCGTCATGGTGCACAAGCACGCAGCTCGAACAAAGCAATCACGGGCCTTCAAAGACCACGGCGGCTGTCTGCAGACTGTCTAAGTCCACGCTGCTCTCAGCCGGCGTGCCACGCCAGCCCTTCACAGCAAAGAGTGCCAACGACAAGATAAGGGATTGTGCTTGAACTTAACATGGCACCAGCCAGCACGCATCTTCTAAGGCCTGTGAGCAGTGATCACGCTGATCTTTCTGTTGCGTTGCCGCTGCTGCAGCTGCGTCTCTTCTTGCTCTGGTGATGCTGCATAACCATGATGATGATGATGGCGGTGACTGTGATGACAGGGACTATGCTGATGATGATGAGGAGGAGGAGGAAGAGGAGGAAGATTCCGATGGTGATCTTGCAAGTGGTGTCTGTGGCTTCCTGTTGCACTGCCTCTTGTCTCTTCTGCAGTCATCAGGACTACTATGTTCCTATCTGCAACCCGTCCAAGTCAGGGAGAAATGCCTGGGACATGGGATGGTGGCTGTCAGTTGACTTCTTGCAAGGATACTGTCCGGCTTTGGCCTCTGGTCGCTTCCGCTGCTCGATCGTCACCTTGTCAGACTTATCTGCACGCATCTCTCCGCGGGGTGTAGTGTGCTCCGGACTCGTGCAAACCCTGGTCCAGAGTGAGTCGTGCAGCCGGAGGATAAGAAACTGCCTGAAAAAATCCCAAAAGCCAGGACCCCGACTTAACATGGCTTCAGGACGTCTCTGCCTCTGCATCCCTCTGAATTCTGTTCGCTGCCCATCGTTGCCCGTCCTCGTCCACCTCGTCCAGTGCTGCACTGGACATCCAGTCCATGCCTCGCAACATGTCTGGAAATATGGCGCAACCTTTTGGAGCGACATTGCCGAAACATTGCTCGTGGGGCTGACTTGATCCGGGCCCGCTGCTCTGTCCGTTGTGTGTGTGTGTGTGTGTGTGACAACCCTGTATCCAAGGGCCTTCTCCTCACGCTCTGCAGCCATTTCCTATTTACGATTTACATATAACTGAACTACCCCTAAGCTGTGCACGTAAACTTGAGTGCAGATTACACAGCAGGGGGCACAGGCCCATGGTGGTACCTGTGCCAACGAAGCTATCCACCATGGGGGAAGCGGAGTCTGATCAACTCCGTGTACCTGCACAATGAACGTATTTGGTATCTAGCATCATCGCTGTGCATTGGTTATACTTTATTCGTGATGAAATCTTCTGGATGGCCTTGGGCCAAGCCAAGAACCCCATTCTGAACTCCGTCAGTGCTTGCGTGACATCCTGGCATACAGTACTTGCAGTGCTTGCTTGCGCGGGGATAGAGGTTTCGGCCCTTTGTGGTTTAGTCAGGTTGCAGGTCTAGGTGCCACACTTTGAGCCGTTCAGCTTCGACCTTACTGCGCATGAAGATACGTGTTCAAAGTTGCTGGTGCATGGTCGCCCAAGACCTGGGCATCAGGTGGTCCTCCGCATACAGAAACCTCTCTTAGCATTCAGTGTGTAGTCCTCCGGGACGGTGGTGTATGCCTCGGTGCTGCACTCAGATCCTCCAAGTTCGGAGGCGCCAAATTCAGTGTCAGCGCTTAGATCAGTTCAATGAGGAGAGCAGTGAAGCCACACGGCCTAACCGCCTCTCATGGCACCCACAAATTCGGCTCCATGCCTACCAACACGCGATTGCAGCTAAAGCGGCTTCAAGCACTCATACCCAAGGACTCAGGCAGGAAGCGTTTTGACCGTAACGTTCTAGTGGCTTTTCCCTGTAGTAGTTGTTGTTGTAGGCTGTGCATTGCTTGTCTGCATTCGCCATGCCTCCTCGTCCCCGTCCATCCTGTGCACCTGGACTCTGGACGACTGCACCCTCTCGATCACGATCTCGGCGACGCCCGAGGTCTGCGTCCTCATCGTCTTCCTCTTCCTCTTCGTCGTCAACACCGGCGGCACCTACGACCCGGACTGCGGCACCTCAACGTTCTACTTTGACTGGCCGAATCGCTGCCCCTTTACAGCCTCCACGACCTATTGATATGGCAGCTCCAAGCACTCCCCCTGATCTTTCTCCTCTTCCTCCGAGCCCGTTTTGGCCTGGTTTACTTCCCGCTGGCTCAACCCCGTCTTCCTCCAACAACGACGAGTCAGTGCCTGCCGCCTATGTCTCTACCTCACCGCCGGACCCGTCTACCACCCCTACGGCATCCTCGACCTCGCCACCTACAGCATCTTCGACCTCAGCAGCTCCCTTCAGCTCTGCTTGCACGTTGGCAACCTTACGCCAGTGTTTGGCCACGGCAGGCCAGCTTGATACCTACCTGCAATCCGATTACTCCACCCGACTGGGCTCCCTCAAGGCGGTACACTGGGATCGAGTATATACTGCATTGCTGCAATACAGGTCCTACTTCAAAGCGCTCCCTCATCGTCGACAATGTCAACAGGAGTTACTCTTGGAGGGACGCCAAGTTGATGTGCCTTTTACTCTAGCCGATCCGATACTTACAGTGATGCATCTGCTGGTACATGCTGGATACCATCCTCACAGTGTTCAGTTCAAGTTTACACATGTCGAGGCTCCCCAACATCAACCAGACAAAGCAGGCAGGCCAATGCTCATGGTTTCGCTCCCCTTCCCGGCAGCAGCTCAACGTGTTAGCGGGGCACCTGCAGTCGCGTATTTTGGTCATAACACGGACCTTCAGGCCGCTTTTGGCATCCTAAAAGAAGGATGCATTCGCCCCAGCAACTTTGACCCCCTTGACGCTTCTTGGCTGCCGAGTCCTGCTTTTTACTCTCGCGCTTCCGTCCACAGTCTCAGCGGAGCCTTACGGGCTGCAGCCAAGTTTGGAGGATGGGGTTCTCCCCGTCCGATTTGTGTATATGGCCGAATCCCCATTTGCTATCTCGACATAGCCAATGCCGCGCCTACCGACACACCGTCTTCAGTGCTCCCCAAAACTCCCGCGGCCTATCACCTGAAGAGCGACAGTGGGGGCACCGTCCCCGAAAACGCGGCGAACTACTTCGTCTCCATCCTGCACGGCAACGACAACCGTTGGGGCGTGCACTCCACGCTCGCACAACCAGAAGGCATTGCCGTGTTCATGTGAGCGGACCCACAAAAGGTGTGCGTGATTTGCGATATGGCATGGCTGGTCTCTTTGTTGTTGCAGCCTTATTCCTCTTCATCCCGCAGCCGTTTTGCTGAAACCTCGCTAGCCCATCATGGCCTCCTCCGCCTTCACTCCTGAATATTTGCAGTTGTTCTTGGTGTTTTTCGAGTCGTTGTCCGACCACCAACTGCTCCAAGTACGTGATGTATTACTACGAGCCCATCAGAATCGACCGACGTTGACCCCTGTGACACCGGTGGCTACGACAACTACTCCACCGCCTCCCGATGCTCTCCCACCTGCCACAGCGCCGCTCACCTCCAGTGACCCAGGCCCTTATTCTGGTCAAGCCGCCTACGATTCTCCTGGACCTCCAGTACTTCCAGACGGCAGTGTGGGACCACCACCGATTCCTCCTCACGTGGATCCCTCCCAGCGCCAGACCCTACCACGACTTCGGAGACGAGATCGCGGCCGCCCTCGAGATGAAGAACGTTCTCGCGCTGAAGACCGCGATCGTGATCGTCATCGCCGACGACGTCGCTCGGTATCCCCACTTCCTCCTAACCCGCTACCTGCTGGACCTTCTTCTCCTCCGATGCCATCAACCCCGGGACATTCTGATGCCATCCCGATCGGCCACACAGCTCCACCTCCGGCTGTCTCAAAGCACACTGGACGACCTCTTGCACCTAAGGTCGATGCTGATGGCACTTTGATTTATGTACCGGTCAAAGCCCGACCGCAACTTCCTCCTCCACGGACCACAACGGCGACAACCGGCCGATCCCGCAGTCGGCGTCGCCGCCGCGATCGTGCTGACCGAGACCGTGATGATCGTGAGGATCCTGACCGCTCTCGAGGTGCGCGTGATGTTCCCCATCGCGATCGAGACCGCGATCGACACCGACGGGATCTGAGCGGAGACCAGCAGCGCCCGCCCTTGACTCTCTACTCCGTCGCTCGGGCCTGAACAAAACATGTGCCCTCGCCGATTCTGCTCCTCCTTTTCGGATGTTCCGCAGCCATTTTCTACATCCCTCCACAGTCCTGCCCTTCCCTGGTACCACACATGCCTTTCCGACGCTCTGCTCCTTTTTCATCCTCTGCCTCCTCTTCCTGCTCGACCTTGTCGTCATCCACTTCGGCAACTGTTCTGGAGTACTTGGACGTATTGACTGATCCTTTCATTCTCTTCCGGGTGTTCTTACCACTCTTGGAACTTCGTCTACGTACAGCTCTCGTCCCTCCGGACTCGATGATGGACACTGCTTCTGACCGTACACCCGCTCCGGATTCCACGTTGAGGTGCCTCTTTCCTATTGCTGAACTACATGGCCAGGCCCTTGCTTTCCGGACGGAACGCGACTATCACCTTCACTATGCCCTCGCCGAGATCACATTTCATCCCGGTGTCGTTGCTTCTTTGATGGTGACCTGCTCGCGAACATACTACGCCGTACGAGCCCTTCTTCGTGATCGTGGACTTCAATATGCCTTCTACGTGGAACGCACACCCGATCTTCCACGGTCACATTCTTCTCGACCGTGCCTGTCCATCTTCCATCCGTTTTGTCCACAACAAGTCCGCGGTATGGCGTTACACCGTGGAATTCAGCATTGGGTCTTCATTCCCTCCAGCTACCAGGAGTTGCCTCTGATCCGGCTCGGACGTTTCTCATGATGCGCGCTCAGGACCTGGACAAAGAGGACTATTTGCTACTGCAGCAGTTCTTAAGCGAGCTCACTTCCCGCAGCCGTTTTTATTTTGGCTCCTTTCGCCTGCTTCCTCACGCCTCCTCCCATTCTTCCTCCTCCTTATGCCTCCACACCGCTCTCGCACTCCACCTTCCCGACGACATCGTCTACATGGACGTGATGAACCTTCTCGACACGATCCCTATTCGTCCCAGCGGAACATTACGACGCAACCTCCCATGTCGGGGTCCTTCCGGGACAATCGCGCACACAGCCGTACGTCTCCTCCTCGGTCCCGACGACATCGCAGCCGAACCCCGGTGTCCAACACGCCGGAACATCACCGCCACCGCAACCGTGGCACTTCGATCAGACAACGTCGACATCGAGATCCTGATGCTGATTCTCCCCCACGACGTCGACTACACTATTCTTCGCCACGGCCATCGTCTCGACGACATCCTCCTCCTTCCGACTCTGACCGACGGGCACCCCATTCTGACAGCCGGGTGCACTCCACTCCTCCACCTCATGATGATCCATCCCACTATTCTTCCTCCGGTGCACCTCCAGCTCGACGTGAACCTCGCCGTGATCGTCGCGATCCTCCTTCCGCTCGAGACCACCGCCTACTTCAGGAACGCTACGAAGACATCTATCCGCTCGGCGCCAACTGGGAAACCACCGACCTCTTCCTTGATGTGAACCCAGACCGCGGTTTCCCTTTACCGCGCAATGTCGTAGACACTGCCTTTACCCGGCGTCTCGGCATCGCCGAAATGCCTATTCATCTCGTCCCTGTTGTGTCGCTTACCCCGAATGCGGGGCAAGCATGGATCGTCCGCCTGCTGGCGGCTGGCCGCCCTCTTGTGATTGAAATTTTCAGGACGCGACAGGAAGCGCTTTTGGCGTCATTCATTATTCGGACGCTCCGCAAGTCCTCGGACCAATACGACATCTCTGATGTCCTTAAACAACTACACGACAACCATACCGTTGCTACCGAAGGCCCACGCGAC